GGCAGCAAAACTGATGTAAGACATCCTACCGACAACAGACGCTGGGATTTCAAACGGTTGAACGTGCTTATACTCTTATTACCTCTACCACTACGGGATTTGAATCGACAACTGCATCTCTGTGCTTATGTGGTGTGGCAACTCGAACTGATGTACGTACATACGAAGTTCTACGTTGTTACTGACTGACTGACTGACTGAACGTGTCAGCTCTACAGGACAATCTATAATACGTGGCCTTGGTAGTTCGCCTGCAACTTGGGATTTCTTACTAAACATGCTATTATATGCTACAAAGCAGTCTGTTCTCCAAACGATCCTCAAAAGCTACAAGCAACCTACATTAATAAAGAACCAAACTCTTCGCTTATTAAACCGTAAAAGGCACTGCTTGGCGGAATACAAACGAAGTGGTAACAACAGAGCATACAGGCAACCCAAACAAGCAAAGAACCGAGCACAAAGGCGATAAGAGAAGCCAGGCTTCAGTATCCGAAAGAGCTTATCGATAAATTTGTCTCCAATCAAAAAAGCTCATTCCGTCACACAGCTTTTTTTAACAAGCTAAAACCGGAGTTTCGCAACTGGTAAGTCCTGACGACTCAGCCAACGACGACGGTAGCACTGCCAATCTCCTAAAAGAACAGTACTTTAGACAATCCAACCGGTCCATACTAACCATATTGGTAAGAGCCTCATCTGCAACTCAACTGAACTCTCGGAAGCGAACCTTATCCTGGACCGGATATAGTCCATCCTGCTATTCGGATGTAATCAGCTTCAATCTTGGCAACAACACTTAGAGTGATGTTCTCACATTCGCCAAGTTGAGGCACGTTACTAGTATATTAGAAGCTGGATCACATTTCACCAATTCTCAAACGACGTCCACGCAGAGAAACTTCGAGCTACCGACCTGTAGCACTTCTCTCCATACCCTCGAAAATTATGGAGTCCCTGATAAGAGACGGTATACAATACTATTTGTTATCCATAGACTTCTTTTCACCCTAACATCATGGTTTAGGGAAAGATCACTCTTGTATGACAAACATGCTGACCACGGTAGGCAGATGGACACCCGTCCTTGATCATAAAGAGTAGGTTGACTTCATAAATCTCGACTTCTCAAAAGCTTTTTATAGGGTCAATCATATGTGTCAAACCATTAGGTATCAGTTCACCACCAATTTATTTGCTTACTTCATATTTAAAAAATTGATATTTTAAGGTCAGAGTTAACTTCACTTTTAGGTTATGAATTGTCCTAGTGAAGTCATTCCTAGGTCATATGAAGAGCACCTCCCATCACTGAACGTTTACCCACCAATGTACAGATGTCTCAGAGGTGACCTCCTAATGATTTACAGCATCCTAAAAACTTCGAAACATGCCCTTAAATACTTACTTAAGCTTAGTCCCAACACAAACCCAAAAGGTAACACTCAGAAGCCAGAGACGCAACACAGCGTAGCGGACCTTTGAAACATATTCTACTCCTTAAGCGTGGTCATATTTTGGCACTCACTACCGGATCAGCTAATCCAGGCGACTTCACAGAAGTCCTTTGAGCGAAAACTCCACATATTCTCAACAGTGCTGTTCGGATGCAAACAGCCTGTTGACCGAGGCCATCTCACTGCTTGATGCTGCAAAGAAGTGTTTTAGCAAGCGTAGTCGGAACACGTCAAGCAGCACTCGATCTGTCGACCCACAAATCGACATGAAGCAAACTAAGGTTAGTTCGATAATAGATGACTCACGCCGTTCAAAGATAGAAAAACAGTCTCCAAAGGGGCCTGCCTTAAACAAGAGCCCAAGGAAAGTAGGTTCTTCTGTTCCCCGTCTCCCAGATGCGATCCCACAGGAAACGCCAAGAAGCCGCAATTGCAAGGCTCGATCGGTTGTTAGCGGGAAACATAACCTGACCTCTCAGGTCGTCGACAACCCTCCGGAATCCAACAGTAGGTTTGACCCAACTGTTATTGCTTCTCCTAGCACCGTTCACGAATGGGTACAGGTTGTAAGGAAGAAACAACATAACGATATAAAAGGGAAACCTGCCCCAGTAAAAGTAGTCAAAAAATCGAAAGCTGATCACAGCGACAGGTCAGTTATTTTTCATAGAATCAATAAGAGTGAGAGTTCTGAACCAAAAGCTCGTTTTGAGCATAACATTGTGCAGATTAAACAAATGCTTAATCAACTCATGCCTCAAAATATCACCGGCGTCACCTTGCTAAAGGTGTACAGACTAGAGAGTCCAGCGAACTTGAAACCAAATCAATCCAGACTGCTTGAAGTAGTATTCAGTATTCGGATCTGTTACACTAATGTCTGAAGCTTGCTTAATAAGCGATCGGAACTAGGTGTACAGATTGACTCTGCAAAGCCAGACATAATCTCAGTTACAGAAACCTGGCTGACACAGGCTGTAGATGGTATGGAACTTGATTTCGAGGGTTTTACGTTTGTAAATGCCGACAGAATACAAAAGCGTAAAGTAGGGGGGGAGTACCTCTATTCATTAGGAATGCTATCCCATTTGCCATTATCGACAGTGTATCGCATGAGAGTAGGACGTGTGAATTAGTTAGTTGCCGCTTGAAATGCAATGTACAAGAACTGCTGATTGGTTTAGTCTATCGCAGTCCAAGCTGTGAGGTAAATAAGGCCTTGCTAAGCAGTCTAAATACTTGGTCACAAAGTGATCGATGTCTAATCCTAGGGGACTTTATTGCACCTATGGTAGACTGAGAAAATTTGCGAAATGAACCGTCAAATAATTCCTTCGAGCAGGAACAAGTTGATGTGGTAATCACATGTGACCTAGTGCAACATGTGAAAGAAGCGACTAGGTATGACCCGGACACTTAATCATCCTTACTAGGTCTGATACTCACTCACTATGTGGATGACGTCGCGAACCTTCATTATATGCCACCTCTAGGTAAAGTGATCACGCATTTATAATTTTCGACTACCATATAACTGTCAGTCACAAGCACGCGTCAGCCCAATCCAGACCTAACGTCTGGAAAGCAAATATACAAGATATCATGCACTCAGCATCGTTAGTAGATTGGACATTAGACCCAGAGTCCTCAGTTGAAATGGCCTGGAACGCATTTCGAAATTCATACATAAAAGTTACCACACCTCACATCCCTTGGACTATACCAAAGAGACCGAGAAACTCCCCACTATGGTTCAGTATGGAGGTCCGCATCCTTCTCTGTAAGGGAAGAAAAATGTGGGATAGATTTAGGTTACTGGGGACTGATGAAACTAAATCACAGTATAGAAAAGTCCGGAATGCCTGTGCCTCGACCCTCCGTAAGTCTAGAAAGTTGTACGAAGAGAAATTTGTTAAGGAATCCATAGAATGTCCCAAACGCTTGTTTTCCTATATAAACCAAAGGACAAAGAGAAGAGGAAATATTCCTGCTCTATGGGGAGACAGCACTGCCGCATCTTTAGTGGAGGACGACTTCGGTAAGGCTAAAGTGTTCTCGAACTACTTTAGCAATATATGTACCATAGAAGCACCCTTCCCGTCAGTGCATATAGATCCCCTCACACACACTGGATAGCGTGACCATTAAAGAAATCGATGTCTTAGGTCTACTAAATAAGCTCGACATAGGTAAATCCACGGGGCCTGATGAATTACATCCTAGGGTACTGAAGGAATTATCTAACTTCGTTGCGAACCTTGAACACTGAGCTACCTGTCATCCAGACATATAATGACTTAGGAGTCATCGTTAGCCAAGACTTAACGACTACTGTACACTGCCGTGCAATAGCCGCCAAAGGTTTTAGAACCTTATGGTCAATACGTAGGGCTTTAAGTCTTGTTGACGCTAAGACGTTTTTAACTTTGTATACAGTGTTCGTACGTCCTAAACTTGAGTACTGCATACAAGCGGCCAGCCCTTGCTTAAAAAAGGACAGTGAGCTTCTGGAAAAGGTTCAGAGAACGACAAATAAGCTGATTCCTGGAATTGCGAAGCTACCGTATGAAGCTCGACTGGCCAAGCTGAACCTTTTCCAGTTGTCATATCTCAGAACTAGAGGCGACTTGATTACAGTTTTCAAATTGCTTAGTGCCAAATTTGCATCTGATATGCCCTCATTTTTCTTGTCTTCCAAAACAGAGAATTTACGAGGACACTCCAAAAAAGTTCACAAGCCCAGAACAAATTACTTGTCAGCTGATTACCGAATTTCCCATCGAATCATCAACGAGTGGAACTCATTATCTCAGCATGTGGTTGAGGCTCCATCCGTCGATTCTTTCAAAAGAAAGTTGGATCAACTGGGGGACCACCATTGCCAGGACTAACACAGGCCATCAGGCCTCCTGTCCTTCCCAAACTGACTAAGGACAATATCTCACTATGATTTGATAGCTTTTTTTCTCTTTTGCTATTAAATATACCCAGGTCCTTATCTGGGTGCGCCGGCAGTCTACCGCCACTAGATACAGAAACCCATTAAACGAAAGCTTCTTCTATTACGTCCAGAACCATTTGAAACCAGCCACCGAAGCTCGTCGTGTAAATACTGCCTCGATCCCGTTCATAAATGCCGTAATCAGTTCCATTAGCCCAAAACGCGATGTGTTGACATGTTATCACTCGAAAATAATTCTTTAACACATCTTTAGCTAGCGGTTATTTGTTTGAATACATCACTTGGAGTTTCGCAGTAGAAACCAATGTTGACTTAAATTGCTGGGATGAAAGAAATCTAGAGCATAACACTGTTCGTTTCTTATTTTCAATTTCAGACTGTCTTAACTTCAAGCTTGTGTTACTTATAATTGTTTTTGGTTGCTTTAGTTATTAAATGTAAGTTCATTCTATGTTCTTACGCAATCGTCGGCTCACTTTTTCTCTTACAGATAATCTTACTTACTGACCTTAACGATCCCCCAGCACACAAGGTAACTTCAAGCTAGACACAAACCTGCCAAAGGCTAAACGTTGCAGAGAATGGATGGTAAGACAAGTCGATACGACCGATCTTATTTACTGTAGTTGTTTCTGATGTAGAGTCCATAACACTTATTGAGTGTGCTACTTGTGGCCGACATTTTCGGGAAGATATAATTGTAAGCGTGATTTAATTGGCAATTTCACGATTATAGCATTTTTGTTTAAATCTCTAAACCAAATTATAGCATTTGCCGAAGTTTGTGATTGTGCACAATCTCAATCATTTAAATGATTGGGATTATATACGCACTTTAAGTGATCCAGTTTGATTGCTCAAGGTGATAGTAATGAAAGGTGAACGACGAAATGCATATCTTTACTAAATTTGTATATATTCTTGCAACTTATCACGTCAATATAATATGTAGAAAAAGTCGGATACTAGAAGTATTGTTTATCTGTACTTTTCATGGATGTGATTCAGATCCTACAGGTCTACAGCTATGTATTTCTTATTCAAAAGACGTTTAAGTACTTTTGAGTTGACGTGTTTACTCAAATAAACGAGTGGTAACGTATAAATTCAGACAGACCAATTACTAAAGTTACAACTACACATCCAAACTTAAAAATAATTCTAAACCGTTTTGAGCAAGTAAGTAACTTCACCCATACAGTTTCAAACTATGTGGTCAACTCCTAAAATACCCATCGAACCTTCTTAGGCAATGAGATTTCTTAAACAGGAGTGATTAACACGAAAACCATGTTGCCCCAATATCAGTCAATCTTGACTTTCTACAAGACTTGGCAACGTTATTTAACTTGTGTTTCTTACCCCTTCACTGAATCCGTTCAGCAATATGTGCAGCAAAGGGATTATTTTCTCGTTTTTATGCTTGAATATAATCACTACGTGCTACATTTTTCAGGCAAAACGTTCTAGACTCCATTTTCAATAACTAACTAGCCGTGTTTACTGGTAAGACTAATTTAAGATTAATATATACACATGCGGAGACAGTAGGACTCAAGCTATAAAACTATCAAAAGACTATGTGATATGCTATTCTACACTTCATTAATCAAGAGCTTCGAAAAGTAATTTTGCAAGCGCTTACTTAGAAACAGGTAGAATTCTGATCATCTTCAAATGAAAAATAGTTTTGAAGTGTCAGTGATTCAGAAACTACTAGGAACCAGATTTATGACTGCATTGTGTTTGATCTACTTTCTTGACATTTTATACATGTTGCGCACCCCTACAAACCACTGTCGAATTCGTGATAGGCCAAACTAAACATAATTAGGGGTTAAGAAAAAATATCAAACGTCATTTTACTTGTTTTCATGGTTTCATTATAAATGTTTATGCAAGCTTTGTGCGTTACTTAAAAAAATGGAAGTCCAAGATATCAATAATTTCACCTTGATTTTGTTAGTGACAAATGGGTTTTTAGAAAGGTCACCAATTCGGAAATGTAAAGCACAGAATATTACACCGCCAAAAATGGATAAGGAATTGTGATATAGTTTTATGAAGTCAACTATTATCTGACGGCTTGCTGAAACAGTTACTAGAAAAGAGGAGTAAGCATTAGACATAAAGTACCTTTACGTGGAGAATCATGACGATTGCTGATTCCTGGAATATCTCTTATATAGATTTTGCTTGACGTGATGTGTGTTATTAAAAAGGTCATATTTTGCACTTAAGAATAAGAAAGAGCTTATATTGTTTCTTAAAATAAATCTTAGGACATATATTTTCCAGACAGAAGGGCAAAATAAATAACATTTGAGTCGAACTGCTATTTTAAATAAGAATCTCTGATGACATGTCAATCACAAAAGATGTTTGAAGTAAACCACAAGCATATAAATCATTCACAAATAGTTTGACGGGATGTATGACATATTGGCTTGGTTCTTTACGGTTTTCAGAAATTAGTTTTTTACAGCCTTTGGTACCAAAAGTAAGAATACAATTATCTTATAAAATAGACGAAGCTTGAAAGCAATTCGCTTATTAATTGCTTAAATCATTAAAAATAATTTCGAAAACTAATTAAAATGTTCTGTCTAACCAACAAAATATACAACAGGGTTATGTTGAGGCTATAGCTGAGTTTTAAATTCCCCTATTACTGACTGGACAGCTCGTTTATTTTAACTAGCTTAACGTAGGTGAAATTCTGATGAGCGCAATATCCAACGATCTTTCCTGTTCAGATACCCATTTGTCAAGTGAAAATTTATGTAATCTTCTGAGGGTTAGTGGTACTATTCAGTTGACTAAAATAGAGTGGGTGAAGCGAGTTATAAATGTAACGATTACTTGTTGGAGCCTAAAACTTTATCTGATAAGAAATATCTTCGTTAATTTGATGATTAAAGCCTATAACTCCTATTTACTTGTAAGTTTCACCAGTTATACCATCCATTTTAAACCCAGAAAACATAATGCATTTTCTTGGTTGGGTAGTATTCAAATCCTACCGTGTTGGCTTTACGATTGCTGAGTTAAAAATCACTCAGATGTGAGAAACATCGCGAGATATATCCCTGTAAAGTTATGAATTCTGAGAGTTTTGGATATATTTTCACGGTAATAATAATCAAGCTTAAATAATAGCAATTAAACAGCTTCATGTGTCAAGATATACTGCCTCCTACTTTCTAGTCTTTATAACATATTTTTCTATTATGGGAAGTAAACATTTCTAGTTCCCTAAAAGCTGTTTTCACTATATCCTCCCTTTACGTTCACTGCCTAAAGACTAGCGAACCTCAGTTTATTTCCTTCTGGTTGACACAATTGTTTGGTGATATGTATTCATACAAATGGTTTTTCAGTTAAAACATTAAAAATCGAGTGGCTAATAAGACAAAGGTGTTAGATAAGCAGAGTTACAGCAAGAAATTTCTCAGATATTTGGAGTAACATATTTTTGTGTTTTAATGATAGCTTTAACACTATGCTTGTAAATATTTGGTAACCCTAATTTGCTGTGGGAGCTCAGTGTTTGCGACAAGGAATTTACTACGGATCCCACGAACTCTACAACTATAAAGTTATCAAAGCATAATATCACCATGGAAATTTGACTTTAGTTATCATTTACAAATAGTTGTTATGGCAACACGTGTTTATTAAACTCAGACAGCAATTAAAATGAACTAGATGTTTTTGAGATCAACCTTTCGTCATAATCTAAATGTATGAAAAGACTTATTTCAAAATGTCTGGCTTAAATGAATTGGTCAAGCATATTTAAGTATTTGTAGTTCTATATTCCACTTTTAATACTAAATACTCTTCGATGAACCAGTTTTTTTTTAATTTTATGTCTCAATGGGTATATTTTGTTTGCATTGTATTACTCTCAATAGATTTTTTTCGAAACTTTTCAAGGTAGGGTTATTGATGTGACTGTTAGCGTTTGCGGTAGATGTTTCCTATCCACTATTCCTGGGATCCTTCAAGTGAAGTATGTCCGAAATCTAGTAAAAGCGATAATCTTCTGTAACATTCTCGTAAGTCTCAATCAGTAACTACAATGAGTGGCAGTCTGTAAACACTTACAGGAGTGAAACTTTTCTTCTTAATAAAGAAGTTAACATTTTGTTTGAATGTTTTATTTCACTGAATCAGTATTGTAATTACAGTCAGTTGATATGTGGACGTTTACCGTATATGTTATTTTATTGATGAACTAAACGTTTCTGACCATCATAATCTGATACTAATCAGAAAACTATTGGATATTTAAAAATATCGTATATGTGTGTTACTCTTCTTCATATGTGCTCACCAGGATTTGCTGATTATCTTTTTCCAGGATTGTTTAAAAAAATTAGCCAAGTAGTTTGTTCAGTACTATGTGCTTCGTTTATGTAGTATTGTAATATAAATGAATGACATTTATTAAAATGGAGTAAAGTTCGATTCATATTGATATAATAATAAAGCAAATCCAACAAGCCTCACAAATTACAGCCATATTCTAAGTTGTAGACTATTGCTTTTTAGACCATAATTATCATAAATAGTTAAAAAAAAAGCTTTCCTAACAATTTGATGATCATTCATATTGCTGAATGATGTCAAAACGGACTATTATACTCTTAGTTTTTGAAGCTTTCAAGATGATATTGAGTTTAATAAGTTATAATCTTGTGATTCATTTTGAAACTTCCAGAATGTACTTAAATTTATCTTTGAATTTCAACAAAACTTCGTGTGGTTAGTTTCCTATTGTAAGACTTAATAGCGTTTTTACCGTAGCTATTTCAACTTCCGTTTGAGCAGTATAGTTTATCAAATTTAACAAAAACAGAAGAGTTGTCATTCATTCAATGGCAATCAGAATTTCAATTTATTTCTTGTTTAAAACTAAAAATTTGGCTTTAACAATCACTAAGTTTATGTTTACAAAATTTCTTTGTGATACATTTCGTTTAATTGTTTCGACGTACATTTTTCATCACATCAATTATGTTCCTTTTCTATTACATACAGAACCGACATAAAGTGGTATGCATTAAGAATTCTACAAAGAAGAGAAAACCTTTTGATAGCACTAAACAACGATTACAAGGTATAGAGGAAAAGAATCAAAACATATTAGGAGGAGCATCTGGGATTAAATCAGTTGAAACTGCACGAAAAATAGCTCAAGTTGAAGCACGCAAACATCAGTGGAGAAAAAAGCATGAAGAATTTATCAGTGCAATTAGGGCTGCAAAAGAGTATACAGTTGCAAAACAGACTGGTAAACCTTTGCCACCTCCTCCACCGCCAGCTATTGATCCAGGTTAGAAGTAGTAGTATTTCTATTTAGCGTATATATTTTGACTATTGTCAAGCATTTCTGATACATGTGGATATAATATCTTGAGAACACTACTGAAGGTATTTTTTTAGTGAGGGTGATCAACAATGAAAGACAATTTTATTTTTCTATTTTCTGACGTAGTATCAGTGAGCAGCATCACTACTTCCAATATAAACAATTTTGTGATTGGTTTGAAGCTCATATTTCTGTTTTTCTTGGTTTATGTACTTGATATATCGGGAATTAGATATCCAAGATTCTATATCGTATTGACATATAATCGGTTACGTTGATCTGCGTGCATCCACTATATACATCCAATTATTAAATGTTTTAAATTTTATCTATGTAATTTCCATTTTTACTAATTTTATATTTTATATTATTTTGTCACTCTTCTTTATTTCTAAGTGCGCTACTTTTTTCATATGACTATGTGATATTTTGAAGTAGTATGCTTTCATTCTAGACCTCACAATGTTCCGTATGCCGATGCACTGTCATGACTTCTGTTATATCCTAGCGGCGATTACATTATGGGTAAATTTTGTGAGCTATTAATGGACCAATATTATACATATATTCTCATAGTATAACTATTGAGTAACTAGATCATGACCTAAAGACTATTATTATACGATTTACTATTCTTAGGTTATACCTAGTTCATGAATTACAGTCTCTCATAATCACAGCCACTTTTTGGGTTGATAATGTACAATTATTATTTTTTATTTATGGTATGATGTGGTCTGGTTTGCTTGTAATAAACTAATTATGTTTGAAATATATGATTCCTATAATAATAGTTGATATTGGCGTTCTGGTTTCAACAGGCAGCGCTAGGCTGCTCATACCAGTTGTTGTGGCACAGTGTTAAGATTGTATAAGTCACGTTCTTATTGGTGAATCAGTCACGTGATATATTAACCGGTCATAAGTCACAATAACTTCTAAGACGTTTACAACAAATACAATCAGATTCAAAACCTTATTTTTTATCGTCAACACCGAACAGACAAAAATAGTGCCCAGAAACTAACTAAATACTATACTAACTTATAATACCTGTAATTGCCCTGAAGTTTGTCTCAAGGTCTTATTGGCTTATTTAGTGACTGATTAAACATTGTGATTAGTTCATCCGGACTATTCACAAAATTACTTATCAGTACATTGATTTAACAAGATACAAGACAGGCCAACAATTTAACATAATCATCCATCCATTGAAATTAGAAACAAACTGAGTTTATAACATACCCAAAATAAAACTACCTGAAAACCGTTCATTTCCAGTTTAAAATCCTCTATAAAATAGTGATTTTTCAGTTTCCTGCTGCATTTTTGATGTGCATAGACCCTAAGGTTTAGTTAGCCACAAATAAATACCTTAAACTTAGTAAAAAAAGATATGTTATATAGTCAATTGCTTTTGTATAAAACATTCGAAAATATTGTTAATTTAGGACAGTTAGTTAATTTTCTAACTAACTGACCATTTAGTGTATAAACTAAAAGTCATTAATTCTTTGATTATAGAAGTTTTAAACATACTTTTCAATCGAAAAAATAGATTAGTATCAGAGGGAGTTTTGTGGAGATTGCAGTAATTTTAATAAATGGGATCATGAGTCAATTGAAGCTAGACCACCATAGAAAATCTGAAAGCACTGGATAGCCATTTCGTCCTTTTGTGGGACGCCTTAGCAGTGTGCATCCACGACCCCGCCTCCTGGGGTTAGAACCCAGGACCTACTAATCTCGCGCGCGAGCACTTAACCACTAGACCAATGAGCCGGCATCCAACAGTGTTAATGTCTCATTTCAACTAATCTACGAAATTGAGAAACACATCCACCATTGTATCAATGAGTTACTATCTCACCACAGACTTATTTGAACTCCACCGGTCCCTGCTTCTCACTAGAACTCCAGGATATACATCTTGAAGCCAGTCACTAGTGAGCATATGTTGATTAGTATCAGAAGGGGTTTTGTGGAGATTGTAGTAATTTCAATAGTTGAGATCATGAGTCTCTAGTTTTAGTAAAAGCCTTAATACAATCAAAATTTTTGTATACTGTTCAAAAATACATGTTGTTAAGAAATCTTTATTAATAGTAATTTTAAACAAAAAGTTAATAATGATATTGTTTTACTTGAATCTTCCCATTGATGTTTTTGGACTGAAATTGATCAGTCTCTTATTGGCATATGTGCATACTGTGCGTATGCCTCGATATTGCCTTAATTTACAAGCATTATAAGCAAAGATGGATAGTGGCTAGCAGTGGAATCCAGGACGCGCGTTTCGTCCTGTTTGGGACTCGTCAGCTGGATGTACCTGCATCTCAGAATTGATGTTCACTCTGAGACTCGAACTCAGTACCGTTCGCTTCAAACGCCATCGCGTTATCCACTTAGCTATGTTATGACAAAAGAACAAATTTATAATTGTTTGAGTAGACAATCAATTCTACTTATTGTTTTATATCATTTGTCAAATAACGCATTTTCAGTCTTCGTGTTCTTTTTCTTTCTAGTGTATTGTAATTCATAATTATAATCACTGAAATTCAATCAGTATATATGTTTAACTATTATTTCCAAATAAACTCAATCAACTAAGTGATAAAGGTTGGTGATTAACCAGATGGAATTAAAAAACTGAAATTGTCTATCTATTTTATGTTTAAATGAAATACAGTCTAAAATTATAAATTATTAATAACTTTTGAGGTCAGAATTTCTAATCATAGTCGTGCAACCAATTTATACTTTCATGTCTTCCTGTTAACTATTTATGAACTTTGAAGGTTGATTATGGGAAATGGGCTTTTTTAAAGGTAATCTCATGAATTAACTTTTCGTATTTTTATTCTTTCTTAATCTTCTCCTTTACGGATTTGTGATTGGTTGTTTGCCAATTTCTTTTGTTTTCTTCAATCGATTTAAATGGATAAGGTCTATGTAAAAACAGTAAGTCAGTTGAATTTAAGTGGATCAGATCTCTTTCCCATACACTTTGGTAGTGTATAGTGATAATAATAGAAGTCAAACCCATAGTTATTTTTCCTTAATACATTGTTTGTATTTTGCAGTCATAGTAGCAATTGATGAATTGTTTTGTGTTATTTAGGGGATGAAACTATTGGTTTCTTGACAAAAGCAAATAGCTGCTTTTTTATTAATCAGTAGTAAAAATTGATGTTGAATTTTATGTTAATTTTTTTAAAGTTTTTATTAGGTAGCTATACCGATTGTAACGATAATAATGAGGCATATTTATGTACAGTTGGGCCTAAATTTTATTGGATGATCGTCCATAATAATAGCATACTAAAACAGTTAGGTTAATATTACTCTATAGGTTGAATGGTTTCATTCAATATTTATATATTGTTATATTGAGTTTGACATTGATTATTATTTTGACCATTATTTATCATTTTCCATTTAATCCACACTTGCTTGACGTCCTGTCTTAACGTGTAATAAGTCCCTTATTTGTTTATAGATTGATGAGGAAGTAGTATGCTGAGTCCATAATCTTCAGGTTTTCCATCGAATACGATATTGTGGTGGTAGAGAAGATCCATAGTTCAAAAGAATTATTATAGTTGAGTTCTGTCTAAAATGCACGTTAATGACATTGCATATAAAAAATGGAAACACGATTAAAATACCTAGTTTAGGGAACATGTTTCCACCAAGAAATGATATCCTAAAAGCGCTATTTTGGGATCCACAACTCCTTATTGACAACTTCAATCATTTCTCAATATAACGTGACTATCATCTTACACAAATGATAATAATAGTCTCTTTTTCGAATAGGCTAACCACTATTCCAATTGATAGATACCTAGACATTTTTAACAGTTTATGTGAAGGAATTAATCAAGATGAGGTAGCAAACAACGAAAGCTATTTCTGGGACATTGTCTAGCTTAATTAGAAATCTGTATCATGCTAACGTTTAGTTTTGTATCTTTTTTATTTTATAAATCATGAACTTTTGTCTAATGTATAAGTCGCTGTCATGTTCTCTTCCACTCCAAAATTAATGTAGTTTAAACGTGACTCTTGTATTCTATTTTTTCTACTCTAATGTTTCAGTTTGAAGTTAACTACATTTTTCTCATTCCTTGCACGTTGTAGTCCTGTTAGTTATATATTTATTCATGTATTTCTTTTGACTTGAATCAGGCATAAATCAGATATACAGTCCCAGCTAAATCATCTCTCTTGACTTACCAACCAATCAGATCATAGGTCAGTAGTAGAGAAATTTTCTCTTCTTTCTTCTCTAAAGGCCGTTATGTTGCAGACTGAACTCACGCATTAAATGCCAACGTTGTACTACGTAACCTATCACATCAATCCCGCCATTGAGGCATCTCTCCCCGTCTATTTAGCAAAGATTAGTGAGCAGATGAATCAAGATCGTATAGCAACTCAAGTGCAATTGAGTTTGTTCACATTTAATTCGATTGTCATTTTGTTAACTTATTAACGAACTGAGTTATCCGTACAACAACAAATTATCTATATCATTGTATCTTTATTATTGTTGCGATCGTATGAACATGTATGATTGAGCATCGCTTACTGCCTACGCATTTATTCACGCCGCTAGCCTTACTATTTAGCCGCTTAATTGATTCGATGATTCATTCATTTCACTATGCGTATATATGTCCATGTTATTCATGTTCATTGCTCTCTCTCTCTCTTGCTTATCTGTACTCGCTTGCTTAACGCACCTGTAATTTTGGATATCTGTGTGTGGTCCCATAATAAACGTAATCAACACTTTGTATTCGCCTTTTGGTTAATATACCGTTGAGGCGTCATCTAATGACGGTTATCAAGACGGACTTATACGAAGCTTATTGATTATATTGAATACCGACCACCACAATCATAACAGTGATTTACTAATTTACTTACTTACACACCGGCTAAAGCATTGAAGTCAGACATAGTGTGGTATATTGCACTTATGTCAACAGATATAATATGTAAAACCAATCAGAAGTGGAATGCTTGGCATCAGAAAGTTAAGAAGATTGAATTAAGGAGATCATGAATGTAAACAGAATAATTGTGACAAAAACAGGCATGAAGGAACAATGAAGTTTGTAAGAGACAATTGACGGAAGATGTGCAAGTAAAGTATTTAATGTATGGTTTTCATATTTGATCAAAGAACTGTAATTTTGTGTGAGACAGTAATCTTATCTTTCCCCAGCTGATTTCTCATCAACTGAAAAGATGCTCCGTGTTCCGTTTAGAAGGATTTGTGAGGTTGGACTGGTGCCGACAGACTGAAAAGAAGGATACTTCTTCAAAATACCAAACAAAGATCTCAGTAAGTGTAAGAACTACAGAGGCATCACCCTGCTATTGATACCAGGGAAAGTTTTCAGTGGAGTGTTGCTGAATTGAATGAAAGATTCAGTAGACGCCAAACTTTAAGATTAACAGGCATGATTCTGTAAGGATAGATCGTATACCGACCGAATCGCGACACTACGCACCATTGTTGAACAATTAATAGAATGGAACTCATCACTATACATCAACTTCCTTGATTATTTGAAAGTGTCTGACAGTGTGTAGAAGAATCTTATAGAACCTTTTTCAACACTGTGGAATGAGTAGCCGAGGGGATCGTTGACATCATCCGGAATTCATACGACATCTACACTTTAAAGTGGCACACGGAGGATAGCTGACGGGTGCATGTGAAGACCAATATCAGACAAGGCTGCTCACCCTCTCCCTTTCTCATTTTTCTGGTGCTTGACTCGATTATGAAGACTTGTACATCTGAGGGGAAGCACGAAATACAATTAACAGCTTGGATGCAACTAGATGACTTGAACTTCGCATATGACCTAGCCCTTCTGTCCCATACGCACGAACAAATGGAGGTAAAGGCAGCCAGTGTAGCAGCGGGCTCTGCATTAATAGGCTTCAACATATACAAGGGTAAAAGCAAGATCCTCAAATACAACACAACGAGCACCAATCTAATCACACGTGATGAAGAAACTCTGGAACAGGTGGAAAGTGTTACGTACCTGATCAGCATCATCGATAAACAAGGAGAATCTGATGCAGAAATAAAGGCATAGATTAGCAAAGTAAGAACTGCATTCCTTTAGTTGAAAAGCACACCGAACTCAAAACAACTATGTGCAAGCCAACATCAAAGTCATAATGTTCAATGCGGACGTCAAGGTAGTTCTACTTTATGGAGCTGAAACTTGCACAACTACTACAACCATCATCTAAAAGGTACAAAAATTTATAAACAATTGTCCACATAAGATACTCAGTGTCCGTTGACCGGATGCCATCGGCAACAACCTACTGTGGGAGATAGCAAAACAATTTCCATTTGAAGAAAAGAGAAAAAGAAGTTGGAAGGGGATAGGACATACATTGTGAAAATTACCAGACTGCATGACGAGGCAAGCGCCAACTTGGAGTCCTGAAAGTGAAAGAGAAATACCAAAGAACACATTCCATAGGAGATTGGAAAAAGACATAAAAAATGAATAACAACTATGAAGGATTGCTCAGGACAAAGTTGGGTGGTAAATGCCGGTGAACTGTCTATACTCCACCGCGAGAGTAACAGGTATAGGTAAATAAGTAAGTGAGTAAGATGTCCTGTAAGAAGTAGTTAAGTATATAAAATCCTCAACATTATGCTTAAATTCAACCTCATTGACCTTCAATGAGACATCATAAAAACAAACAAACGGTGTGGAAAGGAATCACCCGTGTCCCTCGATTTTAGGTATATGGAATTAAATATTTTAAAGATACCTAGGTAATACTAAATATCTAACAATCTATTGTAAAGCAACTCCAATCGTTATATTGAATTTAATTGAGCACATCCATTTGAAAACTTCGTAAATTGAAAATTCAATCGAGAGTAGCAGTGCATGTTATTTTCTATGATCATCAGATTGATATTGAAAATGCCAAAATAATTCAAATACGAAAAAGGGCGACCATCTGAAACTTTCCATATATGGCTAAATCCTACTGCCTTCAGTAGAAAAGATCTTACCATCCATTTAACTTGAACCATTAATTTAAGTTACGATATCTAATTTTATTCACATCTCAAACCACTATCACATATACAAATTCAACTCTACCTTCTTAAATCACAAATATCACACTCTTCATACACATTAACCTGCGTGCAAATAAGCAAACATGTCTCACAAAAATCGCCTTATCCGGACTAACGTGACACTTAATTATATTAAGTATTCCTGCTATTTTCTTTTATACTTTTTGAATTTGTGATGATTTAGATTGTTTGTTTCTTTATACTCTTAAGAAGTAGCTCACACTGATTTACGAAACGTCAGGAAATTTATTTTCTCCTTGGGATATTACAAATGTAACACTACTTTTTATTAGAACTACAGGAAATCTCTTTCGAAACTGTTTAACTTCGAATTCATGATTATTGTTTTCTGTAAAGTTTGTTAAAATTTGTTCATTTTAAAAATGATGTTTTATCATGGACAGATAAAATTACGTTGCTCTGCAATAATTACTTTTTGTAGCTTATATAAACATTTTTGTGAGCTACCAATATCTTCAGTATCCTGCAAGGTTTCTGATGAACAGTAAAATTATGGACATCATGTTGGAATATTTGGAGCAGCGTATAAAAAAACTAATATTCTACCTTTCAATTTTGATTATATTCATTTATGCAAAATGGCTGCTCAGTGTATTTACTTTGTTTGAATATTACAAGAGATATCATTCTCAAGATGTAGTTGGTTCTCGCGAGAATTGTACTTTTTGAAAACGTTATTTGTAAATATTCTTTGTTATTTTTTTAAATAATTATATTTATAGATCTAATTCAATGTGAATACTGTCTAAGAAGATTCAACGAGAAAGCTGCTGAACGTCATATCAAGTTTTGTCGTGAAAAGCACTCACGTTTACCAACTAACAATGCATCATCTAACACAACCGGAATCGGTCGTCTACGTGCTACCACACGTACAACGGTACGCTCGATTAAATGTTTGTATTTACGAAAGAATAAAGCCAATTTTATCACTTTGACTGAGAATATTTATTCTGGTAATTATTACCATTAAAAAGTGAAACGTTTAATATCGAGTTTCAGTGAGTGATATTATTTTAAAACAACGAACATTTGCTTACATCCTCATACTACATTATGTAATAACTAAACTATAATAGCACAGATCACTTGATTATAATCCAGTAATCAAGCACCAATGTGTTCAGCGCAAAATTCGAATGCTTCAAATCAAATTTCCTAGGGTGTATAGAATTTTGATTAATTATGATCATGTAGCTGTTCATTATGACTTGAAATTCATTCGTAATTTATTTAGAACAAATGTTTCCTGCTACTATTGAAATCCGAACGAAATTCATATGAATGCCACTTTAGCTCATCATGAAAATCGTAAATAAATGATGATTATGAAACTAATGTCACCAATAACAATAAATAGTTGTTCCTCAATATCTCACACTGATTGGAGTCGGACATGTTAACCATTGGATGTCAGGTTTGGTGGCCTGAAGTTTAAGAGCTAGCCTTTAGACACGAACGTCTTGTGTTTGATCTCCAGTGGAGATGTGGACGTGCAGAGAAACAAAGTGATACTGAACTGACAAATTCTGGCCATAAGTTATCGTATGCAACAAACAGTCACTGCCCATGTAGTATTAAGCATTAAAAATTCATTTATAATTCAGTGTCCATTGGTTGATTTCATAGAAATATTTCTGCTCATGTTATGAAGCCGAATATTTTAGGAGTACTTTGAACTACTTATTAGTAGTATAAATAATCTAGACAATATTCGTAACTAAATATTGCATTTCCACTCGAAAATTGTAAGCATTTCACTTCACTAGGATGACTGGTGATAGCTAATATCAAAAATGGATACTTTTGGTGTATAGTGATGAAATTGATTGATAAAATTTAGTGATTAATCCAACCCATATTTTCGAACAGTCTCATATATCCACTATGGTTAGCAGTGGAATCCAAAACATGCATTGCATTATTTTTGGAAGTGGTTTTTTGTATGTAAGTTGTGGCTTGAATAAATGTTTTACTCTCTCAATCGAAATATCGCGCTAATCATTCAAATTACTTTTAAGTATTTTAGAGTGATAATGAAGTTTCACAGCTAGAGAGGGTGCATTTAAAGATGATTGATTTCTCGAGTTGAATTTTTCTAAGAAACATTTACCTCCTAAATACTTCTTCAAAGTAGACATACCAGTTACCAGTTCACTGAAGAATAGCAGCACAAGTTTCACATTTTTTTCTATTTGCTTTTGAAAACGAACGCATAATATTGTTGAAAATCATTATTTTCCAGAGTTCATCTTTTGTTTTAGTAAAGTAGTTATTTTTTTTAATAAACTTAATACTGTGAGGAAATCTATTCTAAGAATTCTATCTCATTAATAATCGACTAATCGCTACTAGCAACTTACGTGAATTGATCAGAACTTTAGAGACGTCCGTTTGATCTTTAATTACTAATAAAATAGTTTCCTGTTTTGTACGAAGGCGAAATGTCATTTAGTAGTAGTAGTAATATGACCCTAAATTTAACCCACATTTATTTTAAGTGCTTAATCTCTCTTTCTATTTGACATTTATCTGTTTACTGATTAACTTATATTATGTTTAGGCTCCAGCTAATATTGATCCTACAATACGAAGTAACAGAAAAGGCTCAAGTACTTCTTATACACAAAATAATTATGGATTACATACTAACGATGAGAATCATAGTCAAACGTTACATAATACAAATTCAACACGAAACACAAAACATGGAATACCACAACTAGTCAAACCAACACGTAATCGATGTGATATTTTTTTACTTAACAGGTTATTTTCTTGTCTATTTTCTACTTTAAACTAAAATGTTGTTCAGAGAGTGAAATACTTGAAATAAAAATATAAGTAATCACTCTATTTTTTTTTAAACTAGAGATTACCTTATCATATTTCAAACCGAAAACAAACACAAAGCATCCAATTATCGGGCACAAAATGTTCAATCTGACACTTATAGAGTTTATCAATAATCTTGTCGAAAATTAATGGCTTAGGGTCAAGCAGAGAACGATATTATCCTGGTGTATGTGTTGGTGGTAAACGATGATATATTATACTGATCACTAAGATCAATTGGATATTACCTAAAAATATTAACAGATTTCTTCCAATATTCAAATGATATAAAAGTGGTTATTTGTTTCACCTAAGTTATCAACTATAACTTTTAAAAAGATTTTTTTAACTGATTTATTAAGAATGTTGTCTGTAAGTTAATGAAAAACTATTAAATTAATAACTTTGAACTGTAATTTTCTGTTTAAGATCGAGAGTTGATCTTCCATTTTATTAAAGTCAACAAACGATGTATCTTATTTAAAATAATAATTCCTGTGTGTTTAATTCTGTAATAGTCAATAACCAATCAGGTACAGTGATAAATAAACCAAAAAAGTTCATATTATCGTTTATTATTTATTCTTAATAATGTATATGGGATAAAAATCAATTACTTTGCTTATAAATCAAGATTTTACCGTTTTTCACTGATATACAAATTATTTGATATTGAAACCAAGTCGAATTTCATTCGTATCATAATAACAAAGTTTACGTTCATTCATTAGCAAAACTACCATGCTTACTTTTAACTTTTAGAAAATCCTTCAACCACCGGTGTTCGAAATTCTAGTGAATTACGTAAAAATCAGGATGAAATGGTATGCACCCTTTTTATTTATAACAGAACACTCAAATAAATAAAAATAATATATTTGTAATATCCCAATGAGTAGAAAATTGGATTTTTCTGACGTTTCGTTGCTTAGTGTAAGTCACTTCTTCAGAGAATAAATAACCAAATTAAATTAATCCACTAACCAACGAAACGTCAGAAAAATCCAATTTTCTACTCATTGGGATATTACAAATATATTATTTTTATTTATAACAATCAACCCAATGCTCAATTTATTCGAAATTATCAAATCAAACCTTGGTAATGACACCTAAGAACACTCAAATATTCATATTTATATAAAATAAAATTTTAAACTAAGGCGAATAACATTAAAATAACTGTGATGTAAATTTAGTATTCACATTCACCCTCCACATTAGAAAAACAAACAAATTTTAACGCCTTCCCGTAATGCACTCCTCTAAGACGTCACTCAATGATGTCAGTAATTTTAAAAATTATGTAATTGTTGGGATATTCAGGAAAATATCCCAAAGATTATTCTATTAGGTCTAATGCTATCCTTGGACTTGAGATGGTGTCATTTTCTTAATGGTCAATATTTATTTAACGCGTCACTTTCCTGTTGGCCAATATTGTACAATGTTATTTCCTATTTTATGGTACGATGTGGTCTGCTTGATTGGTATATAAACAGAGTATGTTTGAAATATAACGATTCATATCTCCGAGGCTGAGACTTGCATTCTGGACTCAACTGGCTGAGCTAGACAGGGAAGCGGGACCAATCAGAACCCTAGGCCGTTCTTAAGTGTTTGCGCGTCTTTGGTTCGATCGATAATACGCTTCGTTCTAATCTGCGATCAAGTCATAACAGTAATCTTCTATTATTGCTTTATGATGGATGTAAAAGCCTTTAATTTGTGCATTGATTACCTTTTTAATGAGTTCTAGTTATCAATCGTAGTTACAGCCTGAGATAATTTACTTCTCAGCGTACCATATCTTTAGCTATTTAAATGAAAAAAGCATGCCTCTAGACATATTAAGCACATATTTTAGTTACACTTAAATTGATCAATATGTTTTTTTAATATTTACGGGCATACCCTCAAGATTTGTTGCTACGGCCAAGAAAAAAACCCACGGTCGTCTTAATGTTAGCCAACAAAGGTTATGCGTATACCTTTTCATCCAACTAATAAAAACTGTGTGATGAGATAGGCAGTTAAAATCTGCAAAATTTCTCACTTCACATGATTTTCACACACATATGAGCAACATTCCAACATAACACACTTTTATGGATTAATGGCTAAAAGTCATTTAATTTTGCACAAATTTTTCTTAATGTAACATTTTGGTTGATGTGTGACTTGAGTCAAGTAGAATTACAGTGAACACCAAAATCTGGAATTTAATATATGTAATCATTCTAGATAAGAAAATCTTATAATAGGAAGTGGTCATTAAAGAATATTCATTGTAATGAAAACTGATTTATAACTGACGGATATGATAATTGTGCAATGGAATACTGTCTTATTGATTAAGGACCTTAATAAAATATTTTTGAATTTTAAAGAATAAGATGTTTGTATTTATTTCTCTTGTCTTTTAGATAAGATCACATATCTCATCAAATAACCCAAAAGAAGAGACACCACATAGCAATAATAAACGAGGCTTGCCGTCAAGTCAAATGCGGTATGTGTTATTGGATAAAAGTATTTTAATGATAATAACAAAGATTTTGAAAATTCAATAACAACTGGTACAATAGAATTTAGTTGGATGATGAACTCACTACATGTTTATATAAAAGATATCTATAGCCATAATGAAAATTCTACAACTGAAATTAAACAATAAAGACATTTTGCAGATAACTAAGGATTTCTAGATTTAGGCATAACTTGATGGAAACTGGAACCTTTCGGCTCAAAATACAGCCGCAACAATTACTGTCATACTAAATCATCCATCGAAACTTTGAAGATTAATACACCGAAAAGTTCAATATTAAAGTAAAATAAAGAAAAGTTTATCAAAGACACACTATCTGATGAAGTAAATTGAAATTTACAAAATTTGTTCGATTACTCGAAATTTATTCGTTTTATGCATTATTGAGCTTAATACATTCATCTATAATAAACTTATTTATTATTTCATTTTAGACAACCAACACATACAGGCAAAACAACTAGCTATGCACAAAACAGCTCGAAAGGAGTAACAAATGATAAATCAAATAAACTTTGTTCTGAATGTGGTTATAAATTTCCAACTTCAGCTGTAAGATTTTGTCCTGAATGTGGTGTACGACGTATGGTAGTTTAATTGTCAAGTACATACATACATTTCCTTTTGAAACTATTATATTGTATTGTAAGAATAATATTCCTCATTAATAATATCAATAAAAACTGTTATACTTCACTCGAAATTTCTGTTAATACAAGTTAATTAGACTTGAACTTTTTTATTCTCTCAATGTATGTCATATAACTTTTATGTAGATCATGTATTTCAAAGAGATTTTACTATTCAGTACACGTAAAATATCGCTCAAAACAAATAAATTGATATAATTTTATTATAGATCTTTAAAATATTTCATATTGATGAATGTCGTCTCATTCACAGTGTTGTCATTCATTTCACCATAGATAATAAGTTTAAAACATTTGCACATACCATGTATGCAATATATATCATTAGACTAATGATAAAGAATTCTTAAATTTCATTCAGTGTTATACTACTGTAGATGTGTATTATAAATAGTTTTGTGTACTCAATGTTTATCCGTTAGATTTTATTCATATTTATCATTCACAATAATCATATTCCTTCTTTTTGTTTCTATAAAGATTCATTTTCTACGAAAATCATATTTCATTTCCTTTAACATTATAACACTTTATTAATGCATAAACAATAGTTTTTTTAAAAAATATGTATAATCTGTGATTTTTATCCATGTGTTTTTTTGAGAAATTAAAATATACAATGTAAACTTCACTGTTTTTACAAATTATTTCCAATATCACAATCATAAATATCATCTGTTCACAGTTATTTTATTGATAATTAAAATTAAACGAGCTTCAATAACTATCTTCTTTTGGTATAAGCACCCGGGTAGTATCATAACGCACACACACACATAAATCAAGTGACTTGTGTGGTGCATATGTATTCGGTACCTCTTTGTATCAATATTAATGTGTTAAAATAAATAAATCTATCACCCCAATCATATTCTGTCATGAATGAATTAATCTATCGTCACTAAATAAAATTTAGTAGTCGGTAATCACAAACTGACTTACATTGAAACTGTACCAACTGACTTTAACACAGTGGTTCCAATTGCCAACCTAAAGAACTGGAGTTCCATCACTGGTAGGGTCAAAGGTGTACACTGCTAAAGAGTTCTATATTTGGATAAAACAGATGTCTAGTACTCCTTGGTTTTCAATGTCACTAACTGTGACAAACAACCTAATTTGTTTCTTGAAACTTTGTCCAAATTAATTCTTAAAACCACCAATTAATAACATGTAGCTATTTAATGACTTGATATTTTTGTCAAAGTGAAACTTAATTGCTACCTTTAGAATATATTATATGGATTGACAATGTCCATATAATACTACATGTAAATATCGAACAAAACTCGATATGCATAAAGTTGTATATTCATAAAATACTACTTATTTACAATAAATTTACTAATATATTACATAAATCTTATTATCATTAAAATTACTTACGAAAACTCATGATTTTGTATTATATGAACTAAAACCAAATGAGCGAAGCTTTATAAAATCTAAAAACCTTGTATTTCTAATAGTATCTGAAAACTATTTATAGATTTATGTAACATCTAGGGACAGATCAGCATTTCGAAATCATTTATACAAAGTTGATTAATTTGTAGTCCATATTATATTTATAGGTGTACATTGACACCAAAATATGTACACTATTAAACAGGTAACAACCTGAATACAGAAAACTATAAAATAATTTAGGCAATATATATTAGGGTAAAACGTCTGCTAATCATGCGGATACATTTCTCCATTAATTAAGTGAAGAGCGCACACTGATTTGTTCAGAGAAATACAGTTCGTGTCGTAATAACAGATTGCAAAGGAGTAAATTTAATAAGCATCTTATCACTTCAATACAAACGAATCACCTATAAGAGCTAGTGGCTTAAGCAATAGCCAAATCTTACTAATTTAGATATCAGTCTATTGCTAGTCTTATGGTAACGCAAAAACATTATAATATCCAAGAATACCTATGAAAGTTGTCTGTTGAATACAAGTTTCATTATTAGTTACAAAAATAAGAAGCACTACAAATCGTGATTTTAAACAGGATATTATCCCAAGAAATAAGGTTTAACAGAATATCCTCCTGACGATTTTATGCTGTATGAAGGACTGAATACACTTATCGGTTTATTGGCAACCGACCACCTCTGTTGAACGAATCTAAAAGATACTGAAAACTCATGTACATATCATTTATTAATGCACATTGTTATTCCATCACTCCTAATTCCCTTTCTGATTTGCTTCAAATCTAGTGAATTGTAGTGGCCGGAGAGTACTAGACTGGGGAGAACGTTTCAATAAAAAAATCACTTACCTTGATAAACCAGTCACTGGTGCACACCTATGTAAATGACGTGGTACCTCGTTTAGTTTAATATGCAATTTTTATATTCATCTCATGTGAAGTTAGGTACATAGGTTGTTCATCATGGGACATCCTCGAAATACAAGAAAGCACCTGCCCGATGGGAAAGTATAAAATCGTCTATATTGAAGCATACAGCTGACCATGATTATCCAGTACCAGACACTGAGTTCGAGATTATCCATAAACCCAAAAATCTATCTAGAGGCGTACAAATACACACCCCTTCTGTACAGTAGAGGCGTTGTTGAAGCAAGACATCGAGCTAGATCTACGCGTTCAAATACAGTTTGTAAGATCGTATTCTATGTTATGACCTTGTTTTTCTCTATATTTTCCCAAGATATTATTTCACAACTTTTTGTTCGTAATTTACAAGCCCTTCGAATTTTGAGTTATATGCTATCTTATCCCTAATTTTTTTGTAAATTCGAACACATCAGATTAAGATTCAGTCAATTATTATTTTAATCAAAACGATCATCCGTATCAATTTACTAACCTGTAAAATCACACCAAACTTTAAATGGTAGAAATTATGTCAATATGTCTGACGTAAATTCAACCCATACAGAAGAGGTCAACTAACGAGGTCAGAGGTTAACCGAATAAGCCAAATAACATGAGTGCAAAAGCAAACGAGGACAGCAAAACCCACGAAGACAACCAATTACGCACAAGTTCATCAGAAGAGACTGATTTAGCAGTTGTGAAATAGCTAACGTCTACACGAAGTAGGTGCTAATGATATTATTCACAAAGGCAATCAAGGCTTAACAAATAAGCTATCGGACCCAAACACATCACTCATCGAAATGTATCTCTGACCGTTGATCTCACATATGTCCTATAATTTCTAATCAGCCTGATAATCCAACTATTTATTGATAAGATATTTTTCTCTAGTATTACGAACTGTATTCCATGATTTCCACTCATTTTATTTACACATAGTTAAATACAAAACCTGTTCGGGACCTTTCTTATCTCACTGAAATACGATAGTACAGCTTTTAATAAACAAAATCATCGAAAATGAAATGGTCTTCTCTGAATAAGACAAATACCAAATAGTACGCACATTCGTTGTATGAAGTATACAAAATGGACACGAATCCATTGGACTGATATGAATGAAATCAATAAACTTCTGTTATAAAAAATACATATATTTATACCAACAATGCAAGTAACGCTTACAATACTACTACCTAGTGTTTTGGATTAGAAAACAATGAATGAAAGAAATTTACACAAACAATGAAGAAAACATCACAGTAAAAATATTAATATGTGAATACAGAGTAAGCAAAAGATAAAGTTTAATGAAAACAGACTAAGATGAAATGGGACTGCAATATTCAATCAACATTAAAACATCTCATCTTCAGCTGATTTTATCTCAATTTGTTTGGAATTACACGTGATATTACAACTCCGGTCTTGGTGTTCCTGTTAAGTAACAATGAGGAAAACAATGATAAATTATTTTTGCATAATAATATAACTGTTAATTATTTCTTGTCAGAATATCGCACACTAAAAAAGCTGAAAAACATCGTAATGTTTCATATTTTACCTGGAAAGACCCTCTTAGTTATTTGCCATTATAAGTGACATATAAGGAATCGAAGTATACAGTTCAACTATGAATAAACTGAGATCAGACTAAGATCGGCAGTAGGAATCGAATCCAAACAATTCTAACAACTCAAAAAGTGATCCAATACAAAGAATTTTCATCATACAACCTAAGGTAACAAACAGAAAAATCCACAATAATGCCTTACATATTTCTGTACTATGGCCTGGGATTACTACAATTCGCAAACAAACTACATAATATTGTGTAAAGGTTACAGCCACTGGAAACCTGGAAGCACTGGGCGCATCCAACGGAGTCTCATTCGACGAAGAAAACAGACGTCATGTTTCCAATCGTGGTCTAACACAAATCGGTTCATGATTTCAATGAAATATATTTTTATTGTGAATATAAACATTTGAACATACGCGTAGTATCTTCTGTTGTTTTTGTTGTAGGCTCTTCATCTGTTTTAACAGTTCCAGAAATAGTCTTATCATCATCACTGGTACTAGTTGGGATTTGGCCTTTATCTGGTTGGACAAAACAATGTAAAATAACAATAAAAGTTGATTTCCAATTAAATACACCCAGAAAAACAGATAAGATAAACAGTAGTCTTTTTAGAAAAGGAAAAAAATGAAATATTTCTGGTATAGGTGTGTTAGAGAGTACAGAATTTTAGTTATTTGAAAAATGAATTGATCTTAAATGGAACATCAGTGAAAACTGGGAAGCACCGATACAACTGTTTCGTCCTATTACGGAACTACACAACAATGCAAATTAACAACCGCAAAGGGAATCACACGCAGAACCGACGGTTCCGTGTCTGATAGCTTGAACTTTACTACCTGGTCTCCGGTGGTGTACACGTCTAACTTCAATCAATCCCAGCTAGTATCAGTTCGTGACTTTGAGAATTCTGCAATCTCCAGAAACACTCATATACTAACAATAATCATGTGTTCTCTAGTAACCAGTTTTAAGACGCGATTCCTGAAGTTCTAGTGAGATGCCGTGACCAGTGGATCTCAACTATATCGGATGTGAGGCAGCTATCCACTGTAAATGATGAAAGACAGCCGCGCAGTATCACCAATTGATCGAAGTTAGATATGTTAACAAACAGATACCGGTTCACTTCGGGAATGACACCAAAAATTCAACGTCAGATCCTCTCTGTAGTCGTGAATAGCAACTGCAGAGGGACTTCATACTAAAACAAACCAACTATCCAGTGTTTCTTGGTTTTCAGCGGTGGTCTAGCTAGAATCAGTTTGTAATTTAAGCTATCAAGAGAAAATATTTGTTGTCAAGAAGGGCGTTACATAAAAGCCACTTCATATTTATATCCTCAAAACGGTAGATTTAACAGAACTATGGTCGACACTTCTAAAATTACGTCACAAATTTGATAATCTAATCTTTATTCCGTTCTAGGTACCCGCACAGCACATCTTATCTTTTGTTTAATGTTTACTGTATAAACAAGAGCATGAATAAATCGTTGCAAAATAAGAACGGTAAAAAGTATGACCAGAAACAAACTTTGTCCACAAAAACAACCACAAACCTTTTAGTGGATCTGCAGTATTCATTTTGCTTTGCTCAGCAAACATACGAGCAATTTCTGATCTCCATAAATTCATTTTAGTGGTATGATAGCTGATTTCTCGGGACAATTCACTTTCTTTACTTCGAATAGTAGAAACCAAAATCGGAGGATCTTCGTATGTTGGAGATTTGTTTAAAACTTCGGTAGATTCAGCTAACCAAGTCTGAAAGTAATTTGTATGTATACGTACATATAATGTATGAGGTATACGATATGGTAAAGAATGACTGAAACTAGTTCACACTTTACTTCACTACCTTTTTGTCAACAAAAAAATGATAACTTTTATTGCATCAAGCAAGTAGTGAAAAGTGCCATTTACATTCAATCAATGATTATATAAAACCTAATATTGATATAATCACCCTAGCTGATTTCACAGGATGACCATCGATGAAATACGTATTCTGACTAACTTCGGATATACTCTTGTTCTCCCGAATTCTAATTTCCAGAATCCTCCTTGTCACTTTTTTCCTCTTTCCAAATTTATTTCACTGGATTATACTCTTTAAATAACATCTTCAAACCCTAATCTTTCCGATTATTGCTTATACTCTTACCGCCTCTATAACTACGGGATTCGAATCGACAATTGCATCTCTGTGGTAACGTAATGTGGCAACTCGAACTGATGTACGTACGTACGAAGTTCTACGTCGTTACTGACTGACTGACGTGCAACCTGTTACATTGTTACGAAGTAGAAATATATATATATATATATATATATATATATATATATATATATATATATATATATATATATATATATATATATATATATATATATATATGAATGCAAACAGTTTAACCAATAAAGTTACAATTACATATTCAAAGGTTCATACAGTGGTTAATATCAATCTATCATTTCAATTAATCGTATGAATGGAAATCTCATTGTTATGTTCCAATTATATATGGGGAGTCCCCATAAATGACATAATAACATGGTTCTTTACCCAACATACATCCATTCATATGAACACTGTATACTGTAATAGACAAAAAAACAACTAGTCAACGTTACCTTTGATTCACCTAGTTTATTTCTTAGTGTATCAATTTCAACTTCAGTGAAGATATTTTTCCATGGTGATGATTCTTCTGAAGTTTGTTCAGAGCTATTATTTGATGCATTCTGATTTTGTTGTTGTTCAGATAGAGTGGTTCTCAATGTTTGCGAAAAAAGTTTTGATAATTCAACCATTTCATTTAATGTTTTTTGGGCTAATTCGATTGTTTTATTAAACGATAGTATTGCTTTCGCACGATGTTTAATCTCAGTAGATCTTCTCTCAATGGGAATAATTAACGATTGGATTTCTTTTATTCTGATATCATAATCCTAGAAAATAATTGAAAAGTTAAACTGATTACGTATTTCATTATTTGAGTATTTTTCTTCTTAAAATATCCAAACAGTCTATATTCGTAACACCGGATAAACTGACATGATAATATGTTGACAAAGTAGAAATAGTGAACATGTCCAGATTCAGAATGATGATTGAACGACCATTGTAAATAAACAACTATGCAGTCAAGATCAATGTTGATTATGTTCTATTTGTTTCGATATTTTAATAAACAGTACAGAAAATTTGAAACATGGTTATTTGGCAGTACAGATTAATGGGACTTTTCACTAATTATTTACTAAATTTTAAATAAGCAGTGGTGACAATCGACACCTTATTGACATCTTGCTCACTGTAATGCGTAAGAGCTCTGATATTGATCCTGTATAGGATCGTAGAAGCGGAGTATTGAGGACCAATTAGTTGTTTGCGGTCAACGTCATTTAGCGACGGCGATATTTACCATCAACTCCCCACTTCTGAAAATAATTGAGGTACAGGGTTTTAATGGATGCAGACAGCCATAGCTTTTTTGGTGCTAAGCTAATTCTACAGTAAGATGCAAGTACATATGAATATGCTACACTTATCCATAAACAAAAAATTCACATGAATTTATACAGTTAACACAGCAAATCATTAATGTTTATGCTTCTGTATAAGTATACTGTGAAACTATTGGTTGTAAGAGATTCATATAATTATGTACGAAGAAACTATCCAGTCATGTGAATAGAATTAGATAAGAAAGTGAACAGGAAATCCTTTCAGTTGAAAGTTGATTGCCTAAACAGATTTATAGAGATTCTTTGTGAAAATTATATTGAAAATGAGTGATTGAAATTCAAATAATTCCAATATATTATCCAACAGTTTTGCCTGGACTTCTTCAGGGTAATAGTTGAAATCAAAATTATCAAACAATATATAACTCTTAGTAATTAAATCTACACCAATAATAATATTCAGATGATTTTAGAAAGTAAGAAAATCTGATTCAGTAAAATGTGAATAATGTGAAAAGGAATGAGTATATGTATGTGTACCCCTATATTATTAATAGGTACCATTTAGTAAATGAATCCAGTATCTGTCAACTACCGACGACATAACGATCATATTGTTTATCAAAAGAGAATTTATACATTTTATTTTTAAGACTAATTAAAAATACTTTTAAAATAATAATACCTTATAAACTACAGTTCCGTACTCTAAAAAATAAACACTAACAACTTGTTGAATTATTCCTTTTTAATTTCAATGGTTAAGATCATGAGTCAGTTGAAGCTAGACCACTATGGAAAACCTGGAATCACTGGATAGCCGTCTCGTCCTATTGTGGGACTCCTCAGCAGTGCGCATCCACGACCTCACTCTCTGCGAGATTCGAACCCCGGACCTACTGGTTTCGCGTGCGAGCACTTAACCACTAGACCACTGAACCGGCATCCAAAGGTGTTAATGTCTAACTTCAACTAATTCACGAAATTGAGCGACACATCCACCATTGTCTTCAGTAGGTTACTATCTATTTGAACTCCACTGGTCACTACTTCTCACTAGAACTCCAGGATATACATCTTGAAGCCAGTTACTAGAGAGCATATGTTGATTAATATCAGATGGGTTTTGTGAATATTATAGTAATTTCAATAGTTGAGATCATGAGTGCACACTGCTGAGGAGTCCCACAATAGGAAGAAACGGCCGTCCAGTGCTTCCAGGTTTTCCATAGTGATCTAGCTTCAACTGACTCATGATCTTAACCATTGAAATTATTATAATATCCACAAAACCCATCTGATATTCTTTTTTAGTTTGATAAACTAAAAAATCTTTTTAGAATGATCAAAGATAGTGGATTCATTCAATTAATCAACAGTATAGATATATATTATTTGATTAATAATTTACTACACAAAATCTTATTTAACAAAGTTAAAGTCAATAGGATTACATAAATATGAAACTAAATGATTGTTTAATAACTCGACTTAAATGATAATCTTCTACAGTCTGTGACATCAGGACGAAACGGTCGTCCAGTGCTTCCAGGTTTTTCATGGTGGTTTAGCTTCAATTGACTCATGATTTTAACTATTGAAATCTCCACAAAACCCCTTCTGAGAAGTATAAATGATGATAAACTCACATTCTTTAGACCAGTATGACCTTGTTCATCAAACCAACTAGATGCGATTTGTAATACATTATCTAACTGTTTAAGTTCCTCTTCAGTACCATATTTCTTATAATCAGTTGAAATCATATCATTTGTATTGAGTAATAAAGTTTCAAATAGATTAATAGATTGGTCTAAAGCAGCTCTCTCTTTATCTGCTTCACGTAACTTCTCCAATCTTGATGCAACAAAAAACATAGATCAGTAGACAATGAAAAACAGAAAATATAAATTCATAACATAATAAAAAGATTACATTTAAAGGAATGACTGCTAAAAACGCATGATTTATTAATATGTGGAAATTTCGACGTCAGATTACATTCATAAGCTTAATCAATCTATGAAATATCCTCACCATAATAAACTATGCTCTTCTACAGAAGACAGTAAGGAAATTACACTCTTACTCTCAAAACATTATTATACGATAGCATGGCAATAATTTATCTTGTCTTATGTCTTCGTGCCGCAGATATGCACATAAATAAAATGAAGTCGGATGTTATAGGCACAGAACTAATCAACGGATATTCATAGGGTCGTCCATGATATTTGGAAAAGCATGAGTACAACCAGAATGCATCTAATGAAGTTGTTCCGTTACAATATAAATTAGTGTTGTATCAAGTTTATTATATAAAATTTGGCAATAGTATCTAAAGTATAAGGATTGAGTAAGTCAATAAAATAAAAAAATTATTAAGATAATTACCCTTAAAAAACATTAGGTTATTTTACAACTTACTTAGATTGTGACACAATTGATTCTTTAGCAGTCAAGTCAGGAAAATCTAAATAAACAACTTCATAGTCGATAGGTTCAAAAAATGGTCCTGTAGACTTTGAAAGGTAAAAGTGAAATGTACAAATCATTAAAATAGTATGTCATCAACGTGCAACAGATATACACAATAAGCATAAATGAGGAATGAAACTCAAACTACATAAGTAGTATGCATGCATGGTTCGATGAAAACATAAAGCAAAACTAATTATAGCAAACAGAAGCTATGATCAAAATCTTTAAAATAAAAGATACATAATAAGATTTTACTACTCAATGAAAGCAAATATAAGCAAATTAGAATGGGATGCAAATAAACTACCTTTACATCTACTGCTAATTGATCTTTGCCAGATACGTTATCGTCATTAACAGAAATAGTTTGGTTGTTTAAAATGGTCTGTAACAGTTAAAGAAACTCAATAGCTGTAATTGCATTCAAATCGAATAGAAATAATAGATTTTCTATGACAAGTTAAAGAAATGAGGTCATAATAAAGCCATTGAACATATAACAAAAAGATAATTGTGATGGATTTTAGTTGAGAGGTTTGTAAGCAATAATTAAAGATGAAGTAAATTAGACACACTAGTATAATTTTAAAAATCTGAATAAAGAAGTTTTATCGCATTATACCAGTCAGTTAGTCAAATGAAAAGTAACACGTGGTACGTGTGTACAACGGTTCAAATCGCCACATCCATTAGCATCGCGAATCCCAGAGTAGTAGAAGTGGTAACATGATTAGTGGTAATAGGAAATATCAGGCATCGAAGATACAATTTAAGGAAATATAAATTAGTGAAATAAAAGTATGAAGAATTCAGAAGCTTAGATTTTCGGGGAACACAAGGAGTTCATTAGATATATATGTATACTGATGACAGCACTGAGAACGAGAGAACGAGTTGAAGGTTTAATATCTAAATCATCTTGAAATGAGTAGATAAACTTGTTAGTCATTGTGAAAGATGTTTCGACTTTCGAATGGAATCATTTCAAGGGAATTACTTCAAAATTTTGGTGAAATTAAACTGCTAAAAATTTAACAGTAGTCTGTCCTCACATTGCATAATGGGTAAATGAAACCCACAAAAAATCAGTTTACTTAAAATTTGTAAAATTTCACAGTAATTTAGCTAGATCATCAATCAGCTAACTGTATAATCACTACATCAAAGCTGGCTGCTCTAGAAAATTGTGTGAATCCGATTGGACAAACCACCAAGGAACTCGACAGCTTTTATGCTACCATGATTTTACTGGTAAAACCAGTTAGTCATTGTGATCACCAACTAACAACACATTTTCGTTCTAATACATATTCAGCGGTCTGACAAACAAACTAAACAATATAAGACCTATGGTAATAGGATGTATTATTTTAGTCTATCTAATTGCTTAACACTAATCTACCAAGCACATATTAGTGTATTTGGCTTTAAACTACACTCCAAGTGTGAAAATTAGTTACACTATGGTGCATGCTGTTTATGTCCACATACATAAGTAGTATGTAACACCAATCGGAAGTGGAAAACCTGGCAGCAGAAGGTTGAGATAATCGAGTCGAAGAGAACGGAAACCGAGAGTAACTGTTATGGCAATGAAGAAACGATTAAGTTTGAGACAATTGATGGAGGATGTAGAAATGAAATACTGGACGTACGGTTTTCACATTTGATGGAAGTACTCTGTAACTTTGCATTAAAATACAACTCGTCGTCCCCACCTGTGTTTTCGACCACAACAATTCTAGCCAATTGCCCAAAGAAAAGTGAAGTGAAACTCGAACTTGAAACTTAGTGGCTGAAGGCTGAGTCTCCTAATCACTGAGCGACCGCTCTATTAATTTCTTAACATAACGTACAATAGTAGCTCATAAAAGTAACACGAAAGAAAGAATTACAGTAAATCAAAAAAACAGGAGAAATAAGTCTAAAATTTACAGGGAGTATATTTACTGTTGGATAAGATCACGTAGGATCATTCAAAAGTGTTTGTTACTCCAGATAACATTTCTTCACGATCCATATAAAATTATTACATAAAAGGATCACCCTTAATATATCATTTTAGAAAAAAACTATTAAAAAAAACACCACTAAATCTAATATTAATTATTAAGAAATAATAGTAAACTTACAGAGTTTTTAGTAATATTCACTGTATTGACATGAGTCAAATTAACGCCACCATCATCTGTTGTGTTGACAGCAGTATCCTGTTCGGGTACATTTTTATCAACATTTGTACTGTCACCTCCACCAAATAATCCACTTAAAGTACTACCAATTTCTATAAGCGAAAAAAATTTAAATAGTCAAGCGTTTTAAAAGTATCTACAGATCATCTATACATATAAACTAAAGTGATCAAGAGAAAAATATTGCTTTTGCAAAAACACAGAACAATAGAAATTATGATAGCTAAAGTTGACAAGCAAACTATCCTTTCTATAAGCCTACTTAGACAGTGTTATACTTAAACCAAGTTATTTATTTATTATTTATTTGAGCACATAAATATTGGTACAAAAGAGCACCGAATACGTACGCGCCACACAAGTTACTTGATTTGTGTGTGGGCTGGGATACTGCCCGGCGGCCCAGATCGAAGCAGGTACTTAAACCAAGAGGTTAACAATGTTAGTAATTCTAATACGTAAACACTAAATACAACACTATAAGTAATCATTATGAAGTAATTTTGTGAAATATGATGATATTGGAGTGAAAAACCATTTCAGTAGCACTGATGAAGAAAATCAGTGAAATGTTACTGAATGCAATCTGGTTGGATGTGAGACAAAAATTTTTTTCACCTTTAACCATTACCAGTTGAATAAAATAGAACTGTGCGAAAAAAAGGTACGTTAGCACCCACTAACTTAACGTGAATATGCCAACGACAGACCACAGAATATTATTTACCAACTTACTTTCAAAAGTAGATTTCGCCTTATTTGAATCATCAGATATCCCTCTTTTTTCAATAGGATGAAATATACAACTTACACCACTAAGAACAAGAATTCCATTGTGATCCATAATAAAATGTGCTTTGACACCTCGAGGCTCAGCAAACGAATAGTGTTTAGCTGATTTTGATACATTTCTCGTAGTGATATGACTAAGATTGTAGTTTGGACCTTGGAAACTAAGGATTACATGAACAATTAGAAATAATGTTAAAGTACTGGCGATGACAGTAATTAATATGAGAGTATATAAGGTGACAATATGTTCAATAGGTACACAAACTAATTCTATTCGGTACAATTGATGAAGCACCTGGGACAGACAAATGGATTAGTCAAAACAGAAAAGAAGAAATCTAAGCTTACGATACGAACATCTATCAAATATATTTAACTGCTTTTACCATGAACAATTGACTATTTTAAGGAATAATCAATTCATTTTGATATAAATTACCGTTGATCGTCTATTTTGGACGGGCTTTATTTTCAAACAATGAGCAAATGATATAAATAAATTTGGGTAACATATCCAATAGTTCTGGGATTAAAAGAAATGCTTATCAAATAAGCGAGTTTAATAAATATGGCCCTGATTACTTGTTTTATATTACTCTAAATAGAGGTAAAGACATACAAATCCAACGATTTGAAATTTATAAAACAGATATATTTTTATTGATTCTCGTTAGACTGCTGTGATTTACGTTATTGGATATATCCAATCGAACTAGGAGTGAATAGTTTTTATAACTCACGTTTTGTACATCATATAAGCTGTCATAATCAAAGTCGCTAGATTGGTGGACAATATACTAAGGTTTTTAAACCAAGTAGTTTAAGTTGACACAAAAAGGAAAATGATATGTGATGGTGAAGAAATGTGATTACCGTTAAACACTAGATGTTAACAGGTAGAGATCTCTTACAGTTTGTTTAAGAAAAAATAACCCTAAGTGTATACCATTTGGAAAATTTTCACTTTTCACAACAGCAAGAAATACAACTTGTTTTCGCTTCCATACACTGACTACTTTGAATTAGTATCCCTTCTCTGGCTTCTATTCATCTTGTCATATATTCAGAGAGGTGGATAAAAACTGAAATTTTTCTGACCGAATAATGTAAACATAATTCCATTGATGACAAAAAGTACTAGGTAAATATGATAAATCTGACAACGAAGTTATGAAGTATAGTTATTTCAACCGTTGGGCTATTTGGGTTTGCCTCACGCATAAGAAACGATAGTATGAAGTGGTAAATTTCAGAAAAATAATTAACTACTTGTAAGCAATCGTCGTAAATATTTTAAATTAAAATAGCGGAACAATGTTTACCGAGCAGCATCTCCATCAAGATCGACATAATTAACATAGAAGTCTAAGTCAGTAATATGTCGATTGAATTTGATTGCGCGTTTTTGAGGAAAAATAGCTCCACGGGGAAAAAGAACTTGTCGAACATAAGATCCATCCTGTTGATCATCGATATGTGAATCTTTGTCTGACTTATCGCTTGGTAACGGTGGAGCACGCATAAAATCAACCTGTAACATTTAAAACATATATATATGCATAAGATTCAGATGCTAACCTTTAAAATACAGAACAGGATGAGACAATAATTTAAACTAATGAAACAACGGTACTTAACAATGGAAAACGGAGCAAAATAATTTAAAGAAATGTTAAGTATTTAGGGATTTATTTAATTTCATCTCCCGTATTTGCGAAATTCAAACTGTAGTTTTAACATAACTGAACCTTTGTAAATTATACTGTGACACCTAGATGATTAGAAATATGTGAAACATGGGACTACTGACTGTGGCACCATACTAAATTTTCAATTTTCCATGTTTGTACATATTAAATTTTAGATTATCAATGTTGCCAAGCGATCGAAAATCTGAAAATTAGTACAGTTCGAATTATTCCGGTGAGTTTATATATGTCCCACAAGCGAACTACTTACTTAAAACAGGCTGTGACTATCACTCCAGAATTCTTACAAATACACGATAAGTTAGATTCTTAGTTTTGACAAACCTTAACAGCAGGGATAGCCGTGTTAAATGTAAGGATAAATAAGTAAGAAACGTTCATTAGAAATGTATCAGAAACTTACAGCAATAGGATAAAGATTATAGTCTTTAACAATGAAACGAGTAACACGAAACCCAGGAGTATGAAATGCAGCTTGATACACGGCACCTAATGCGGCAGCATCATCACTATTAACACCTCTGTGCAATTCTGACCTAGGTAAAAATAGTACAAAATTACAATTGATTGAGTTTATGATACAAAATGGTTGAAACACAATATTTACAGTATCTTGCATTCCTCAAGATTTGACGACCCCAGATTTATTCCCTCAGGGTTCCATAGGTTTTCATTCCTGAGAAGTCCTGAACCAGAATGAAACGGCCGTTTAATCCGCATTAGTTTCCAATAGCTCTTCAGTTAATTTCAGTTCACTATGCGAACTAACTTCAAAGTACACGATGACAGAAGCTTTATAATGTTCATTATACATTACGTGATATTATAATGCTAATCATATACTTTGAAAAATTACTATTTTAAATACGTAAGTTCTTCAATAAATAACACGGGAAATACGATCTTAACAAAGTGAATAAAAATGGAATCAATAACAAGAGTAATTCATCAGTAGCTATGATTAGGAATCCATCAACTGACTTTGTGTGTTGTTATGATGTTCAAATTCTATAATTTGTTCTTTGTAGTACGCAACCAATTTTTTGTCTACAAAGTTTATTGTCAATAACAGTCAACTACAACTCACAGACATGAAATTTAAAAAAATCCGTTTCTTTTTTTATAAAAACGGTTTGAATATTGATTACACCAGACAAATGTTGGACAGCTGGATGACATAAAATACTCTTGAGTTAACGGATGTATTGTACATTCAGAATAATAGTACGTAGTATATAAAGTAAAGACTGTGCAGTACTAAAAACAGACTAAAATACAGGAAAGAGCTGGGAAGGATTGCTCAGGACAGGGTTGGATGGAGAATGATGCTGAGCGGCCTATGCTCCTTCACGAGGAGTCAGTCAGTCAGTCAGCTACAACGTAGGACCAGGCACATTTATGCATCGGTTCAAGTTGCCATACCTCATTAACACAAGATGGACACCGGATTCATAAAAGTAGTTAACTCAGAGGTGGTAATATATAAAAGAAAGATTGCAGTAAGGATATAGTACAGGAAGAAAGAATTAGTTCGTAGGAAGAAAGATATGAAGCGATCTTAATCTCTTAGTTCGAGGGAAGATAGAGAGTGTATACACCCACGCCATTGTGATCGACTCTGAGCCATGTCACCAAGAGTCTCCAACCATTGGTTACGATAGTCACGCGAATCCCAACCAAGTAGTCTGACTCTACCAACATGGCTCAGACTAGAGGTTAGTGACTTCAAGGACTGATGCCACGTTTTGGTTTGGCCGCCTCTAACTTTCTTCCAACCATCCCGAACGCCGGTTAGCATTGCACGTCGTGGTAATCGGTGTTCGGGCACACGTAACACGTGGCCCAACCATCTCAGTCGATGAAGATTAACAACCTCATCAACTGATTTACTATCATTACCTAATACCCTGCGTCGAACCTCACTATTACTTACCCGGTGATCCCAAGAGACGCCAGCAATATTTCTGAGGCATCTGTGGTCAAATACTAGTAGCTTACGAGTATTTTCTACTCTTAAAGGCCATGTGTCGCTGCCGTAAAATAAAACAGAACGGACTGCCGTGCAGTATACTCGTCCTTTTATTGATAGGCGGATATCTCGCCTTCGCCAAAGGTGACGTTGGCAAAAGCTAAACGAGCTTTTCGAATCCGTGCTGAGATTTCGTCCGATACCAACCCATTAGGGCTGATCAGACTTCCAAGATAAGTGAAGTTGTCGACGCGTTCGACTACTTCACTCCCTATCCTTAGTTCAGGTGTTAACGCAGACCAGTCCTGGAGCAACAACTTGCATTTAGAGGGAGAGATGTGCATCCCAAACATCTTGGCATTGTTGCTTAGTGCTATCAGAAGACTCTGCATTTTGTCAGCGTCTTCACCAAACAGGACTATGTCATCTGCATATTCTAAGTCGGCAAGTGGACCTCCTGGAAGGAGATCAATGCCCGAGAATTCAGTCGACGAGAACGTTATTTCCATCAGTAGGTCTATGATGAAGTTAAACAAAAATGGAGAAAGTGGACAGCCTTGACGGACACCACTTGAGGTTGCAAAAGTAGATGACAGTTCGCCATAAGCCCTTACTCGACTAGTAGTGTTCGGGTAAAGAGCCTTCACAAGGTTTATGTACTTCTGAGGTACGCCTTTCAATGACAGGCACTGCCACAGAATCTCGCGGTCTACGGAGTCAACCGCTGCTTTTAAGTCAAGAGAGACCACCATTGTCGGACGCCGATAAGTATGCCTGTGTTCTAGGACCTGATGAGTGGTGAATATGTGGTCTATGCAGCCACGACCAGGTCTGAAGCCAGCTTGATTCTCTCGTGTTTGCAGTTCATGAGTCTTAGTTAAGCGTTTGATAATTATCGAGGCTAGTATTTTAGATACTATATTAGTTAAACTAACCTTTCTATGGTTGTCACAGGATGATTTTAACCCTCTCTTATATATTGGGACGATAAGTGATTGTGACCAGTGCGATGGGATAACGTCTAACTCCCAGATCGTATTTAAGATATTAGTCAACCTAATCGCTAAAATTGAACCACCATCCTTAAAGACCTCTGGAGCCAATCCGGCTGGACCAGCTGCCCTTCTTCGTTTCAGATTAACTATAGCCTTTTCAACTTCTGCTAGAGTTGGGGGACCTACTTCAATGTTCCACTCACACTCTGGGAATGGAGGGTAGTTGGAGAGTAGTTGGAGGCCAGCTGAACTGTACTCTGAAATGTTCCGCCCATCGTTCTAAACGTCTGGACTGAGAGCAGATGAGGGTGTCGTCTTTTTCCGAAATAGTCTGACTTGCACTTGATTTAATAATTTCAGTTTCTTTTATTAGTCTGTAGAGCTGTCTTGTGTTCCCTATAGCCGCCGCCTTTTCCATCTCCTTTGTTTTCGTTGCCCACCACTGCTCACAGTCGTTCCTTAGACTTTTGCCTAACCTAGATCTGATTTGTTGTCGCTCTTCATCGTGTTCAGAGCCTGACGGGATGAGTTTGCGAGAATCCATCAGTATAATAGACCTTGAGGAAATCCATTGGTTCTTTGTAACCCTGTGGTTTAAATCACTGATAGATGTCACTTTTGTTTCCACAGCTTTTTGTATAGCTTTCCAAGCAACATCTGGGTCAACCTCGTTTTCAGAACTACCTAAGTGTGACCTCAGTTGTTCCTGAAACCTACTTTTGGTTTTCTCGCTACTCAATTCAGTTCTAATGGCTCTTTTTAGTGCGGCTTTTTTTGCGTCCAGTGAGGCGCAAGCAGATGCGTGCCCGTATTAGGGCGTGGTCGGAGTCCAAGCAGGTACTCCAGAATGAGCGACAATCTTCTACCGACCCTCTCCAACGATGACTGATGGCAATATGGTCCATTTGAGTTTATCGTTGGTTTGGTGTAGAGGGTCGCCATGTTAGACGATGTCTCTCCTTATGCTTAAAATTTGTGTTTGCTAAAAATAAACGATTGTCTGAGCACAGTTGCAGCAGATGATCACCATTATCTGTTCGTTGTGCCGGAATACTAAAAACGACAAAAAGTCAACGATGTGTGTCCCTATCCTTCCGAGTTCTTACGGAGCCGTTTAGCCGAACAGCACATACACGACTGTTAACGGGGATCCACTCTAACAGTGCTTGTTCGTCCCTCATGCTTAGTGCTATCGCTACTCCTGCCAGTCCACGAGAGCTGGCCATCGAGTCACCAGACACACGGAGGGTGTATCTCGTTGGCTCTCCGTGTTGCAGAGGTAAGGTCAAGTGAATGACCACACTGGGATCCTGTATGCGTGTTTCAGAGACACAGCATGCATCAATGGTACGAGATTCTAGGGTTCTAACCAAGGAAGCCTGTTGACCGATTTGACATAGGGTACGTACATTGAAGGCTCCAATGTGTAGTTTGGAGCGAGGTTTCAGTAGACCTGGGACAGTGTTTTGCGCACTAGAATCGTTGGCTATGGTGACATTCGAGGAGGAAGCCGAAAAAGGAAGTTTAGAGGTGAAAGTCCATGTAGGAGGAGTAATAGGAAGTGAAGACTGAGGTTGATTATGAATACAGTGGTCTTGAGTGCTGTTAGAGGTATGAGGGTGGTTATCCCTTCCCGGTTGCCCACACCGTGGAAGGGTTCTTCTGGAGGTACCTGAAAAGGAAATTGGATTACAGGTGGTCTTAGTGACCTGGGAGTGTGACCGCAGTGCCCAAGGGACAACTGCTTGACGTCGGTCACACACGACCTTTTTATGGTTAATTTTTGTGTTAGCTCCGTACTTGTTGAGACCTTACCGCCGGAGACGGATATCAGTGGGATAAGGCGAGGTGTGCATTTCTAGGGTCGACTGGGTTAACTTAGATGCAGGGTCATCCATATCGTCGTTCGACTGCAAACTCTTAGAAACCTCGATTGGATTAGCATTATTCCAACACATTAGAGATCCCACAAGATACGACTTAAGAAACTCTTCCTCTCTTTTAGATTTAGTTTTCACACACGGTGATGACGTTGATCAAATGGCTTTTCACCCACCACTTGGGAGAAGTGACCATGCAGTCATCTTATTCAAATTCATGGCTGAGATTGCCTGTCAAACAGTTGCACCGGCCCGTCCCAACATATGGAAGGCAGATATGCAGGCAATTAACTCCGCAGCATCGGCTGAAAACTGGGAAATTGACTCAAAGGCATCAGTACAAGAGGCATGGACTCTATTCAGGCAGTTATACAATCGGGTAACTCAACCATATATACCCTGGACTGTCCCAAATAAAAAGAAGCACGGACATCCTTGGATAGGGCGGGATATTCGACGTTTACTGAGACAAAAGAAGAAATGCTGGAACGTTGCCATCCGCCTTGGCACAGCAGGTACGATGGAACGCTACAGATCGATAAGAAACGAGTGTATAATGGAAATTCGGGAAGCTCAAAGAAAATATGAAATGCAGCTGGCACAATCTGCACTCAAGCAGCCCAAGAGGATATTCTCGTACATAAACTACAGAACGAGGATGCATGATTGGATTCCCAACCTAATTAAAGCAGGAAGTGAATCTGAAATGATAGAGGAAGATCAGGAAAAAGCTGAGGTTATGGCTGACTACTTTGGGGCAGTTTTCACTCAGGAACCTCCTCTAGAGGAAGAACCAGACCCAATTACAGAGTCAACAAACCAGCTGCTCACCGTGGACTTCGACCAAAACGATGTGCTTAAGGCTCTTATCACCCTAAACATGGAGAAGTCAACAGGACCAGATGAACTACACCCTAAAATCTTGAGACATATTGCCCAATGTATCGCGGCCCCACTGACTGTGATATTCAATATGTCACTTGACCAAGGTGTGTTACCTATGGACTGGAAGGACGCAATCGTCACTCCCATACATAAAACAGGTCCACGACAAGTTCCATCGAATTACAGACCCGTAAGCCTCACCAGTGTTGTAATTAAAATACTGGAAAGAATAATCAGACGGACCATAACGGCATTTATGGAAACCAATAACTTGTTGAACATGGCACAACATGGTTTTAGAAAGGGTCTATCCTGTACAACGAACCTCCTTATAGCTAGGGAGCTCTGGATTAATGCGCTAGACAACGGAAACTCAGTGGATGTTGTCTACATAGATTTCAGTAAGGCTTTTGACAAGGTGCCAACTAATAGACTGCTATTGAAGTTGGAAAACCTTGGTATTTCCGGACCTCTTTTAAAATGGATTAAGGATTTCTTAGTAGGTCGTAGGCAAAAAGTAAGAATAAATTCCAAGTGCTCCATCTGGAGACCAGTACTTAGTGGAGTACCCCAAGGTTCCGTCCTAGGTCCTTTACTTTTTATAATGTACGTTAATGATCTTACAAGTATAGTACAGTCTCCAATGTTACTATACGCTGACGATGTAAAAATTTGGCGAGTAATAACTGGAGACAAAGACGCATTTACTCTTCAGGCAGACTTAAATAATATGATAAACTGGTCTAAAGAGTGGCTAATGCCTATCAACTCGGAAAAGTGTGTCTACATGCACTTGGGGGATTCAAAGGTTAATAAGTACAACATAGGGGAAGTGTCATTACCCGCAGTCCGGTCTCATAAGGATCTAGGGGTGACAGTGAGTAATGATCTAAAGACGACGTCCCATTGCCGGGAGGTCGCAGCCAAGGGGTTTCGAACCCTCTGGGCTTTAAAAAGGACATTCACTAAGTTAGATACTGCCATGTTCACCACTGTATACACATCCTTAGTGAGAACTAAGCTAGAGAACTGCTCTCAGGCTGCAAGCCCCTGTTTCAAAGGTGACTCGGACATACTAGAAAAAGTACAGAGGGCAGCTACCCGTGCAATTCCGGAACTCCGGGGTTTAACATACAAAGAGCGGCTCGAAAAACTGGACCTCTTTACTCTGTCCTATCGCAGACTAAGGGGAGATCTAATTTTGATGTACAAAATACTGAGAAATGATTTCGGACCTAACTTATTCTCTCTCTTTCTTCCCACTAGATCAGGACACCTTAGAGGACATAGCAGGCGAGTAGAAAAGCCAAGAACGAACAAAATACCCGTGGCATACAGGTTTTCACACCGAGTCATCAATACTTGGAACCTGTTGCCTGAAGCAGTGATGTCCGCACCTTCAATTGACTCTTTCAAGAGAAGACTGGACACTCATAGAAGCATACTACAAAAGGAATAAAATAGGCCGTAGGCCTTCTGTCTTTACTACACAAATCTGAATCTGACCTTTTCTAACCCCACCCCACCTTGTGAGAAGGCAGCATCGCTGTCATGCTGGTTGTCTGAAGGAAACACCTTACTGCTGTCACACCTCTGTACAGTCAGCAGTACGACTTCGCCTTCGGACCTTGGGTTTGTTGCTTTTAGTCTAACCGCTCTTCAACCGACCTGTCTGACATGGTAGGACCTTGAGGAACAGTTGTTCCAGCCAGTATAGTTCGGTTGCTTCATCACGATAGGCAAGCCCGACCACTACGTCAAGGTAGCAACAACGAGGAGTAACAGGCGTAAGTAAGTAAGCTACCACGTCATCCAAAATTTGTAACTGTCAGCTGTATCCATCACAAAGTGGCTTACTCAAAATTTTCATCACTTTAGCTTAATCTAACGTTGATGTAGCCTGACTTTATACAACCACCAATCAATGAAACTGTACTCTTATAAGTATCGATGTTATTCATTTCAATGTACTTCCCATTACTATTCGATATGATTCACTTTTTTAACTGATTAATGTTTATTCCATACCGATAGTATCAAATTACGTTTTAGAAACATAATGTATCCTACAGTTTGTGACTACAATTATACCAAGACTTTGATAAGACTACATTACGAAGCGTGCTTGAAAAAGATACTTATAAGCAAAATAAATCAAACAGTAATTTCGTAGAAAAATAAACGAAACGGGTCATAAAAATAACTAAATGTGAATCTGCTGGAAACAGAAATGAGAATTGTCTTACTAGATAGTTTGGGCTAGAATTTAGGAAAAAATAACTTACTTTTGACTATACTCCATTAGAACAGATTGAATTTTTGGGATTCGTGTACCTCCACCCATTAAAATAACTTCTTGTAATGACCCCATTGAAAAATCGACCATGATATCGAAAAACGGTCGTTTAACTCTTTCGAACAGATCAGAGCAAAATGCTTCCATCTCAGCACGAGTAATTTTAACATTAAGATCTTCTTCATTGAACAAATTTTCAACCTTATGTGTTGCAAAAAAAATTGCCGAAAACTTGATTGACTGTGTTTATGTATTTCTTCGAACTAAACATTATAATAAGTTTCTGAATAAGGCAAGCGTTATTTACGTAGTAGCTTGCACAATTCTAAATTGCATAAAACAATTGTGTGAATATGTATTTCAAAAAATTTTCAACGCCTATCATTTGTGCATTTTCGCATAGATTATAACCTATATGCAGCATATTAACGTTATTGAATTACTTCTTTATCAACTAGCAAGAAACAATCACATAACTTTGCTTACTACTATCGATGAATATTCATATACCTACTAATTTATTAATTATATTTTAAGTCCTATATTAACTAATAAGCTTCTGTTTATATGGCCAGACTAATTTATGGATGAACCAATCAGATATAAGATAACGCTAGAGTTTTGGCATTGTGATGAAAACCCTAAATTTAGTTCATAGCCCTAACTATCAACTGTAAATCACAATTTTAACTCCTCACACTGCTTTATAACACTCATTTTGAAGGTCACTTTAGCATCACTCAAAGGTTGTCCATAAATTATAGTCTCACCATTTGTATCATAAAAATAGTAATCCTAAGCAAATTACATACAGACACTTGCTTCGTTGAGCAAAACTAAAGGATCGATTATATAAATACGAATAAAATATGTAAATAACACATCGCTCGAAAAACGTTTACAATTACCTGGGCGAATATTTCGGAATTTGCACTAAGTTTGGTAAGCACATTTGAGGCCTCTAAAGCCAGTTTAGACATAGCTCGATGACTTTTTTTCACTAGATCTTTATCTAATTTCTTTATTTCACAGAATTTTTCCAATAACTGATCTCTTATTCGATAAATGAAAGCCTGTGTACCGAATGTTGGATCATGACTAAAAATAAAACATTACAAACTTGTAAATGTAAATCTGTACTGGTTTACTGATGCATATACTCCTTAGAATTTTAAATTTCTATCCTCTAAGTACTCTCTCGATTTTAATGACTTTCAGACTACGCAGTTTTTTAAGAATTTAATATGACAGCGGTGAGCTCCTCTGTTGTAACATGATGCATTTGGTGTGATAGAACTTTTGAGTGGTTAACATGAAGTGCTTAAGGGAAAATACATTAAAACTGTATGCATTTAAAACAACAAAAGTTTCCGAGAAAGTATCGTTGCATTTCCTAACTAAATGCTATCAATGAAATCAAGCTAATAGGGTCTGTAGAGTAAAATCAACGAAAAACTTGGTAATCTTTTAAACGACTGTAACGCATGATTTAGAATAACTGAATGTATGAACGTTTTACCACATCAACCTGGTGAAAAATGTAACTAGACTCTTATTTAAGTCCGTTACTATAGTGGGCTACACCAAATATCGCTCACGTAAGTTGTTAGTCGTCTTATGTTTAGCCAATCTGTCATAGGATTCTCCAAGATCTAACTTTTTTATCGCCTCACTCAGCAACTGATCGCTTACCTGTAGACTCTCAATCTAGGAGCAAGTAGACATCCTTAACTAGAAGGCTTAGCTGCGTAAGGGGTTGCAAGCATTCGAAGCTGGCTAGCTCAAGTGACACGGCTTACAATACAATAATTATTGTATGGGCAAAAGTAAAGCATTCGGGTTGTATTATAATCTTATTACAACTTACCTGACATTTACAATCCTCAACATCGGGAAATCTGCCACAACATCTCCATCTCTGTGTTTCCCATATGAGTATGCTATGGAACAAAACCACGAGAAATAATCAGATTTTCTCAACGAAAAAAATAATGGATAACTTTAAGACTGAGCGGACAGATAGAAATAACTTATCCGTTTAAAAATGACAGTAACAGACAGGCAATGATACTACAGAACGAAACATAGGTTCAAGCTGCCAAAACAGCAATATAGGAAAGGAAAATCAACAAGACCGGTAGGGGAATCATGTAAACAAGAGATATAAACTCATGAGCCCAAACAAATGACGAGGGAGGAAACAAATACGGTCTAAGCGGAGATAAACAATTATGTCTTCAGCTCATATGGTCACTTTTGAACCATGTCATCCAGAGTTCCTAAATGGATACTTAATAAACTGAAGATCTCACCGAGAGAGTATAGCAGAAGAACAGGTGGTCCAGATGGATTGGCTCCAGAGGTCTTTAATTGTGGTGGTCTAGTTTTAACGATTAGTTTGACTAATATTTTAGCTAAAATCTGGGAACTGGACGTAATCCTATCTGACTAGTCGCAATCACTGATTGTCCCAATACATAAGGGGTCAAAATTATCCTGTGCTAACCATACAGGGATTGGATTGACTAATATAGTATCTAAAATACTAGCCTTAATAATTATCGGGCGCTTAACAAAATCTGAAAACATGAGAAAACCAGGCTGGTTTCGGACCTGGCCGTGACTAATAATTTTAACTGACCTGCTAAGGTTGCAGTTGTGCTCATTGAACCAATATCAAAAAACATGTAATATTGAGGTGTTTCGTTGAAACTTTTAAAACGGAGCAAACCGAAATTCAGAGCCACTGCAGAATTGTCGTTAATTATTTGAAGAACATTTAAACCAGCTATTTCAGACACTCGTATTAAGCGGCGCCTTTCAGCCTGACCAAAATGACTAGGTACAGTCAACACGCAAGTCTTGATAATAGAACCTGGAAAAAAGTAATTATGAGAACAATTTGATATTACAGCCTGTTATTCAACTTACCAACTTGTTTACTTATTTATGTGCCACACAAAATGAAATAGTCATATTTGGAGGATATTCGAAATAGTAAAAACCAAAGTGCAGAACGTTTTAAAGGATAAACTTCAAATAACATCACAACCACGATAGGTCTTCTGAGGTTTATCTTACTAAAACTGCAGAAGACCACATAAAACTATACCACCATTACTACTGATTTATATTTTGAGCTTTACTCGGTAACATACTAACTTGTGAAGGTTATATTATCCTAAAGCCGTCACCGAGGTCTCTAGTGAACGACAAAATGATGAAGCGGCACAACTACCATGCATTCCAAGATGTTATCACAAAATGATCAAACTTCTGTTCTTTATTACATTTTTATCACCAAATAGAGCCAAGGCCGGCAGATAGTAAGGATAGTTCTCTAAGACTATGGCATCCATAAAATTATACTTTTCCTTATAACCCAAACATGTGTTCCCAATCCTTAACTTGATTTATGCGGTTTTGCTGCCATATGCGAGCACCTAATCAGAGACGATAATCCAAAGTACAGGGATTTACAAAACAATAACATGGAACGGTTATGTTTTACCAACACGCGGCAGAACTTTTACCACTGCAGTTCTGTACACACAACCAGTTGTGACGAAGTCTAGTCTAACTTGCCACAGACAGCTTTAGTTTTGGTCTGATTTAGATTTGTTTAAGCTCCTATATGCCCCCCCAATCACATGAGCACACAATTAAGAGAATGTTTTCTGTCTATTCTTATAATTACGAAATAACTTCAGAACTCTTGATAACACTAAATTTTCTATTAGGTATTTATCCTTTTTGAAGACAAACTACCGATCGTCGCTCAGATTTTATTGTCATCTCCAACTGGTATGCAACTTTTTCTTAAGCTAGGAGATTATATTTGGTCCAAAAGTACAGGTACTTTGTTCCTTTCATACGTCCAAAAGACTAGAGAAATGTTCATACTAGGTCCACCAGAGTACTTATCTATTTCTCTGGATATAACTCTATAATTATAAAGCAAAAAGTGCCGCAATTAAAATTTAACAGTGGCAGTATGATAAATAAAGCTTGGTGATAATCCCGAAAGCCAAAGGAAAGCATACCAGCATAGAGTTCAGCGTAATTATGGGCATATTCAAGAAGCATAGCGACCAGTTCATCAACCGAAAACACCACACCATCTTTTCGAGTGAAAAACAGTTGTCCAGATGTGGCATCATAAGACAAATTGTGGTAAGGATAACGTTCCTGAAAGAGTTTCACCATTGGATGATCTATAGACTTCCCAAGAAGAGACGGAATGGACTGGAATACGTATTCAGGATTTCTTGAAGCCTACAAAAGTAAGAACAATATTGACATAACACGTTAAAATGACTCTAATATATAGGTTTCGCTTTACTAACAATTACAATACAAAATGTGTAACCTCTTGGACATCCTCTTTTCCTTTTTCCTTCAGGATTCCAAGTTAGTGCTTGCTTTGTGATGCAGTTTGATGATTTCCCTAATGTATGTCCCATCCACTTCCAGTGTCTTTAACTAATTTCCTTCTCAGCTGGGAGTTAGTTTGTTCTCTCCCCCAGTAGACGGTATCTGGTCAACGACATTGAGTATCTTATGTAGACAATTGTTTATAATTACTTGTACCTTTTAGATGATGATTGTAGAAGTTGCAGAGGTTGCTGCTACATTGTCTTTACTTGCATTTGTTGGTGTTTATAGGATAAAAGAGTTAGGTCGGATGCGAGGTCTGAATCGTCTAGCTGCATGCAAGCTGTCCAGTGTATTCCATGCTTTTTTGAGATGTGGTCTTTATAATCTGGTCAACCACCAGGAGAATGTAATATGACGGGATGAAAATGCAAAATGACATCCTTTTACTAATTGTAAATTTGGTTTAATATTCCTTCTATTTTTGATTCAATGTGATGATTATTCGAAATAATATTGGTTTTGTTTTAGATTGTGATATTTTATTCGGTATGACATTAATTTACTTGAGTCTGATGTTTGTTCAAGGTACCATATTCTTGTATTAAATTAACGTGAGCTCTGCTCAGTATGATATGCAACATGTGGTTTGTTAAGTCTAGGTATTTCTCATGTGATTTAATTCTAAGTGGTAATTAAAATAGGTATACAATCAACAGATAAATGTGCATTCTCGATTACGGTCATCGTGTTTTTGTGATTCCTTAATTTTTATTTGTACCAGTCTTGGTGTTCTTCGCAGTGGTTCCTCACTCTTTCAAGCATAAGAATGAACGACGCGGATATAATTGGCGATGCCAATTTTAAAAAAAGCCATAACATTTACTGATGGGGTCAGTTGACAAGCCTCATTTTACAGTATAACCGTCTGGTTTCATTTATAACCGCTTTTAATTCAACTTACCCCCCCCCAAGTCCTGTTTTTAGTCACAAATATACTTTTTTACACCACGTCGCAGTTTTATCTATTTATTTAAACACATAAGCATTGGTACAAAGAGGCACCAAACAGATATGAGCCACATAAATCATTCGATTTGTGTGAGGGTTAGGATACTGCCCGGGGACCCAAACCGAAGCAATGCATTGCCGTTACAATTAACGACGCAGTTACCAGTGTATGAACATATCAATTTCAGTTGCAGAAGTAAAATCAGTGCTTTAATTTAATGAAGACGTGTTCATTAAATCTTGTTTAATGCTCATCAGTGCATTGAAGGAACACATGCTTAAACAATCAAGTCCAGAATCGCACCCCAAAATCATATATTTAACGAGATAACTAATACATCTGTTGCAATAAGGAATAGTTTTGTGATAGAGGGAGGAACCAACAGAACATTTAATAAGGTAAAATCTGGGTAATATTCAAATGTTTTTAATCAGATTCCAATTACTTTAACTATCCAGTTACGTCGAGCAAAATTCAAAATCATTGCGAGACAAATATTTCGAATAAATCAATTTCTGATCACATGCTGGCAATCTTAATGATTCACAAGTTCCCAATGAAGTCTGATAAGTTTGATAAAAATATTTCAAATGGATCAAATTCTGGTAATACCATACCAAATGTTGCCACCTGATGTTTGTGTTGATGTTTAGATGAATAATGAAAACTCCACAACCAAACCACCCAGCTCAGAGAATAAAACTTCACCTAGACAATAATCAAAGCAATCCGCCACAGTTCGCTTTGCATTAATATAAGGCCGTAAATTATGAAAGTAAAAGACGCTTAGGCTACAAAATCTACTGAGCCTCGATCACTTATTGTGAGACAATTGATCGACTACCATTAAGATCAGGCGTCGCAAACTAAGTTGATCGGTTAGCAACATTACAATCTTCATTAATTGAGATGTCTGGGACACATCACGTTTGCCTAACAACGACCTACTCCGAGGTGTAATGCTTGCTGTAGTAGGAATAAGCTGGAAAGAAGTTAACGGTGCCATAAGTGAAATAAACAATAGTCCATGAAGTCAAAGGCTGTTACACTATCGTGTTGGTAGGTCTAAACTACCTAGTTTGACCCTGCACGTTAAAACTAGAGACTAGACATCACGCGAAGTGGCCAGGAAACGACAACAATGGTGGATATGCATTCACACTTTGTCATCATTACTGTTAAGTTTTAATATTTCATACTTCATTTCTTTAGCTTATCCTCTCTTGTAGAACTACCATTGGTAATATTATTTCGATTATCTCGCCAATCATCTTGTGTATTTTACCCTGCTATGACTTGATATGGCGGCTTGTCTCACACTATATGATGACTTTAAGTTAAATCACCAGACGCCCAACAACTGGAAAGTAAGCCGGAATATTGTCTCAACCACTTCGGCTTTGATCTTTTTTACAGACTTCCAAAGAGATCTACAGTTGTTTCCCATGTAGTAGTACTGATAAAAATAAGCAGCTGTGAATCGTTAATGCAAAATTAGTACAATCATACGTACGCAGAGTACAAGCTAATTGATATGTCTTAAGTCACATGTCACAACAGAAAATGTGTGGCTCCGAGTAAGTGTAACAGAATGAAAACATATAGAGGATAATAAAGAGCTTACTAAACTGATTGCGTTACTGCCAAATAACCTTTCATTGTTTTTGAAACCGACCGCAGTTGAAGTTTTTCTTCTAGAATCACTGAAAAATAGATATAATAACCACTAACTCACGGAGTAAGGGCGATCTCCATAGGCTTTCCGGGCTAAAAGTTGTGAGTGAATTAAAATTAAGTCATTAAGAACAAACCAAAACCACCGCAACTTTCATAAACTCAGTCCCTAAGTCTATAGACATTGATGATATGGCACCTGGAAAATGACTAGTTCATACAGTGAACAAACCTATAGAGCCCAGAGACAGTGCGTGAAAGGCCACTGCAATAAACGCCAAGAAAACCCTCGACATTTTGGAGCTAGCTAACAGCGGCGATAGTAAACGTGTATTGACAAGACCAAACAGCGCGCACCAACTTGTTGGGTGATTATTGGCCAATATGTAGTCACCTAGATAGTTCAACTGTTTAAACAATATTGATAGATATCGTCTTGCATTACTCAGGCTGATATATTTAAAACCTTCAATATGACCCACCTAAATATAAGTATCAGGTGTAATATTACATGTAAATCTTACATGGAATATTTAAGTGGCTTAAATGATTGTGGACGGAATAGAAGCTTTTGCTTAACCGGCTTCCGTGTCTAGTAGCAGTGGATCGGCAATACCTCGAGGCAGGAACCTAGGCATGTTAACGACAACAGATGAAAAGAAATTGGAAAATCATAGCAAGATATTATTCTTAATCCTTAAGAATAGGTCAAGTTACTCTTAAAGGACTCCTGGGAAGTCGATTAGACTAGCCCATCCGGCAACGAATTCCAGCATTTGGCAACTCTTAAGGAGTAGAAGTAGTGCCTAAAGTTTGTTCTGATATGTTGTGTCTCCAGTTTCTGGATGTTACCCCTTAGGTTTGTGTTGGAACTAAACTTAATTAAGTGTTTAGGGGGATGTCCAGAAGTGTTGAGGAAGGTCACCTCTAAGACGCCTATACTCTAATGAGTAAAGGTTTAGTGATTGGAGGCGCCCTGTATAAGGCTTGGATTTAAATCCCCGAACTAATTTCGTGGCTCGCCGTTGGCTAATAATTAGGATATTTAGCAACTATTTTATTTATATCTAAGTTGAAGCACTTCCACATTCAAGACAATCACATCTGTGAAGACTGTGATATCTCCGGAGATATTGATAAACTTTTAAACCCACTCCTACATTCCAATTCTTAGTGATGAATCAACTAGTTCGAAAAGTGTTTGGAGTTGTAGAGATAATTGAAGTAGACCTTACCGTTTGTGAACAAATAATACACAAACAAACAAATAAAGTTTGTCATTGTTTTTCATTTTCCATGATTCCATTAAACCAGTGCAATATCTTTGTCAACTAGGAGTTTTGTTTAACTTGACGTTTATTGTTCCGGTACACTACATGCACGCCACACTGATTGCCGCTCAAAAAATATATATGTTGGCATACGCACTGAGCTCTGGCTTTGTCGGCTGCTATTTTCTTACTGTTTATTAATAATTCTGTTGCGCAGGTTTTAGCTCGAGTTACACAGTATGTTCCCTGATAATAAAACACTAACAATTTGTATCCATATTTGGAATTCCTTTGAGTTATTTTTCCGATATCATTTTAATTGTGGATATATATATATATATATTACCCTATGAATGGGTGTTAGCTTTTGTGCTCATTTTTAATGACGTCTCTGTAGTAATAACTGAGTTAGCATATATCCATATATTTGTTTGACTGCCACTGAGGCAATCAACTAATAGATCTTGAAACAAATTAAATCCCAGAAAATATGATTCAGTGAGTCTATGACACTGACTTCATTAATTTTGCTGAATACACCCTAGCCGAAGTACCTCATCTGGTATCCGAACCAGATCACGATCGTATTCCTCAATTTGCTTACTCGTCATAGAAAATAGTGAGCCTACGTATTTCCCAGTGCATCGTCCATCTTCTGAATATATATTCGAAACCATTAGGCACATCAATTTAATGGCAAGATCAAACTTATTCTAATGTTACGTAATTTATTGCGTTGGGCTCGTTCATCCAGCTTCTTTGGTGTGTCATAACAAACGTTTTCATAAAGAAGCAGTTTAGTAAAATGTCGGTGCATAAACAGACTATTTTCGAATTAGAACTTCATTGTATAGTGTGAAAGATGGAACGTCATGTTGATGCTGTGTTACAAAGAAAAACTGTTGTATGTACTGCAGGCGTCACACAGTTCTTAATCTCATAACTTGTGGCCTTGTTTCTTGTTAATATATAACGCGATAATATCGCCAATAAGAGATGTTACAGGAGGACTGAAGACATTTGGCTTATTAAAACCTTTATATTGAATATTAACAATTTCACTGCATTTTTGGCTGCATTTTTCTTACTCGGCCTCTACACGTGCTTGTTTATACGTTTATTTTCGGACATTTTGTTACTCTTTGTCTTTGGTTTAGTATTTGAGAGTTTTTGCTCCAAGAACTTACAGGATTGAAGACATTTAGGTTGGCCATTTGTAAATTGCGAGTAAATATATGAATAATAGATAAGGTAACGAGTGGTGAAATCATATTAATGGCAAGTAACCATAGTGTATTGAAGAGGAAAAAGCTGATTAAGAATAGACAAGAAGGAACTCTCATTAACTTGGTGTTGATGTTATTTTGTTCTACCCTAACCGGTTGATTGGTAACAGGTTCCATAGATGCAAGACCACTGGTGGTAGACAGTCGACTGTGCGGTTCTTTTGACTTTTTAGGGTAGTATTGAGCGTCTCTTGGCAACCGAAAATCGATAGGTCCAGTGAGTTATCTGTCTACTTCAAGTAAAAAATTAGTGAAGAAAAAGTACGTTATACAACTAAAAAGTAAGAAAGTAGGGCAATTTGGTCTATACATGAAGAGATCCTATGATGTCTTTGTGGGTCGCAGATGTGCTCGTTTGTGCAAGCGATGACTTAATCAATAAGTCTTACAAACGTATGTGATCCATCTCTCATGTGTATTTCAGAGGGAAGACTGTTTCATATCAATGCACACTTAATGAGGAAGAAGTTTTCCCGAGTTTCCGATCTTTATTTCTCATCTTTGACCGTGGATACTTTGTGTTGAAGGTCGTATTCATGTGTGTCTTGGGCAAGAGCTATATGACATGCGGAATAATTAGGGTTTTTGAGGAGTTTGAATCAGAGAATCAAATTGGATCTAAGTCTTCTTTTCAAAAGGAGTTCTAGTCCTAGGATATGGCATCGGAAACTATATTCAATGAGTGAGTCGTTCTTAAGTATTTCTCGAGTGAAATCTCGTTGTCTTTCTTCCACCTTAAGTATATCGGACAGGCGTAGATTGGTAAATAAGAACGAACAGTATTCAACGATAGAACTTACGCAGACTTTATGAAGAATGATTTTATATGCATTTTGAAAGAGATTACGAAGAATGAAGTCAATCAATTTATGCATTTTAGACGCTTTAGTTGAGACATGTTCAGAGAAGTTGAAAATATGTGAGGTCAGTTATTGATGTCAGTCTGGGCAGCGTTTTCTTGTTAAATGCTTGTTTTATTTTAAGAAACCTGTCTCTAATACATAGCCAATCGCATTTTTCTGTGTTGAGCTCCAACCTCTAGCGTTTGCGCCAGTTTTCTGCCTTCATATGTTCATGTTGGATTATTTGCATAGCACTACGTAAATGACAATTGTCAGTTTTATAGGAGGCTTTTAAGTCATCAACGTAGAGGTAGGTTTTACCTGTGCTAAGGTACTTGGATATATTGTTGGAGTAGATTGCAAAGAGCAATGGACCAAAGACACCACCCTGCACAACATCACTTGCTATTGGTAGAGGTGTAGATGTGGTAGAGCTATTCTTCGTTATTTGGTATCTGTTTGTGAGAAAAGACTTGATCAATTTCAACAATGGGTTTGCAATTCCAAATGACTAAAGTCTGTTGATTAGGAGGTTATAAGGTACTTTATCAAAGGCTTTCTTAATATCGAAATATAATATAACCACTAGTTTCTTTTGGTCACGTATGCGAGTAACCTCGTTAAAGAAGTCTATCGGATATGTACTTCAGGACTTTGTTATAAAGAAGCCTTGTTGTGACAGATCTATTAGATCTTCGTTAAATAGGTGATCAGATAGTTGATTTTGTACTACTTTTTCCGTTATGTGTGATATAACTGGAGTGATATTTATAGGTCTAGTTTTCGACCAAGTTTCTCGGTCCTGATTTGTGTTTGGGAAGAACATACGTTACCTTCCAGGTCTCGAGATATATACCTGTCTTTAAAGGTAATGTGTATAGTTTGAGTAATAGCGTCTCTGTGTATGGTCCTGACATTTTATAAAGGTTTGATGGGATTTCATCTGCACCAGAACTCGCATTAGGCTTGAAGGTTTTGATGTCGGTATGTATATGTAACAGCTCAGGTTGGTTGGTTAAGAGTTGACCCCAAACAACCAAGCTTATGCCAAAACAGTATTGTTCAAGTATTCATTCACTTCCTTATTTTTCATAAGCGTTATATTCCCTATTATCTTGAATGTTGAGAGTCTTTATTTGTCTGAACAGATAATCCCACGCTCCACTGTGACTGCGCGAAGATCGAAATAAAGACCTATTCACTACTTGTCTGGTTCCTTCTACCAATAGCACGAGGGTTACTTCATGGCACGAAATTGGTGAGCCCTTTTTGAACACAAATTTAACCTCATTTCTGTTATTAACATTTTTTTTACTTAATCGTAAAAGTAAACCTGATTATCCGTAAACTAATTTGAGTATATAACTAGTTTATTCCGTATTATCTTAAGTTATTCGTGTTATAGTAGCCACTTTTTGTGCTAACTTTATTGTTATATTTGTCACATACCTCATGTCAGACTCAATAGAAACCCATAATCTGGAGGATTTGTCACCAGTGGAGATAGACACTGTTATGACTACGAAATCCCGACTTCCAGAATTTGATCGTAGTGATCCTGAGTTGTGGTTTGCTCAACTAGAGCATTATTTCACGAGACACAATATCAAATCTGAAGGGATTCGCTATAGAGACTTGTGTTCTATCCTTCCTCCTTCAGTCGCCAAAGAAGTCCGTGACTTGATTTTAAGTCCACCATCACCACAACCATACACCATCTTAAGACGAGAGATAATGAACCGTTTATCATTATCAGATAGTCAAAGAATCCAAAGACTTTTTCAAGGTGAAACACTAGGTGATCGGTCGCCGTCACAGTTTTTACGTCACCCCCAAGTCTTAGTGGGTGACAACACAGTGGGTGAAGCAGTCCTAAAACAAGGATGGATACAAGCTCTCCCATGCTACGTCCAACACTGTTTGGATGCACAAGATCCTGAAACCTCATTATCTCACTTAGCGCGTATAGCCGACAGAATAATGGAAAGAGGTCCTCCAACTGGATCAGGCACAATAAATCACACACAAAAAGGAGAATCAGCAAAAGACCCAGTAATAGAAGGACTCATTGCGAGTGTTAAGAGTCTCACTGAGGCTGTCACCAGAATGCAAATGGGTCATAGAAACAGGAGCAGGTCACCACAACGACCACGATCCAAGTCACAAAACAGGTCACAAATGTCCAGACAATCTGGGCCGTTTTGTTGGTACCACTGGAAGTTTGGTGTCAACTCAACCAAGTGCATGCAACCATGCGCCTGGCCTAAGCATAATTCTAAGACAGCGGGAAACGAGTAACCCCTCCCCAGGTCGCGACGACTGAGGAGGGGCGCCTAAACAGTCGCTTGTTTTATGTTAGAGACAGAAACTCTGGCTTGAATTTCTTGGTAGATACTGGCGCTGCTCTTAGCATCATCCCTCAACATAAAACTGAGATTAGTCGAGAAACATCATCAATTACACTTCAAGCTGCAAATAAAACTAAAATTGCGACATTTGGGCAGAAAACATTAACCCTAGATTTGGGGTTCAGGAGGCAATTCCCTTGGGTTTTCACGGTGGCCGACCTAGATCTGGCAATACTGGGGATGGACTTTCTAGAGAGATACGAATTTCTAGTTGACACCAAGAAACGGCGATTAACACTAAAAGAAACTTCGTATTACACCAAAGGCAAAGGAAGTCACATCAGCTCTCTTAACTTGATTCAAACTCCCCCAGTAACAACAGCGAAATTCCAAGATATACTCGCGAAATTTCCAAACTTAACTAAACCAAACCCACAGCCTTCTAAAGACAAACTAAAAGTGAGTCACACTATCAAAACCGAAGGTGCACCGGTGTTTGCAAAACCCAGGAGACTAGCACCAGATAAGCTCAAAATCGCTAGGGCCGAGTTTGATTATATGCTACAATTGGGTATTATCCGTCCCTCTGATAGTCAATGGGCATCCCCCTTGCATATGGTCCCAAAGAAGAATGAAGGTGACTGGCGACCGTGCGAGGATTACAGAGCCCTAAACCGTCAAACCGTACCTGATAGGTACCCAATACCTCATATCCAAGATTTCACCAACGGTTTACAGGGTATGAACATATTCACTAAAATTGACTTAGTCAGGGCATACCACAATATCCCGGTGGCTGATGAAGATATTCCCAAGACAGCTATTACTACACCCTTTGGCTTATTCGAGTTTGTACGCATGCCATTCGGCCTGAGAAATGCGGCACAGACATTTCAAAGATTCATAGATAACCTACTTCGAGATATGCCATTTGCGCAGGGGTATATAGACGACTTGTTAATTGCCAGCCCCGATTTGCAATCACACGAACAGCATGTACAAGCAGTGTTGAAAAGACTGGATGAACATGGAATAAACATACATCAAAGTGTGTTTTCGGTGTTCAAACTTTAGAATTTCTGGGTCACACAATAAGCCCAGAAGGGATTAAACCTATAAAAAAAGAAGTGGATACTATCAAACAATACCCCGTACCTAGTTCTCTAACACAACTGAGAAGTTTTCTAGGCCTAATTAACTTCTATCGCAGATTCATACCAGGTTGTGCACAATTAATGCAACCTTTGACAGATTCACTTAAAGGAAAACCAAAAGAATTCAAACTGTCTTCTGAGGCCATCGAAGCTATTAAACAGCTTAAAGATAAACTGGCTGAAGCAACTACGTTGATATATCCGAATTCTCTTTCCCCACTTGCTTTGATGGTGGATGCTTCAGATAAAGCAGTAGGCGGTACCCTTAACCAACTGGTTAAAAACGCCTGGAAACCAATTGCTTTTTTCTCGAAAAGACTCGCTCCAGCCGAAACAAGGTATTCTACCTTCGGGCGAGAACTTCTTGCAATCTACCTGACCATTAAACACTTCCGACACATGTTAGAAGGTAGGGAATTTATAGTCTTTACGGATCATAAACCACTGACGAGTGTATTAAAAGCGAGAGCCGATAAATACTCACCTCGAGAAGTCCGACACCTTGACTATATATCACAGTTCACAAGCGATATCCGACATGTCAAAGGTCAGGACAATCAGGCGGCAGATGCTTTATCCAGACTAGAAATGAACGTGCTACTGCAGTCTACAGTAAACTTCGAGACGTTAAGACACGAACAAGAGCAGGACCTAGAATTGCAAAACCTACTTAAAACAAACAATTCGAGCCTTAATTTAAAACAATTCCCATCACCTATCGATGGTATTCTAATTTATTGTGACACGACCAAGGCAATGCCGCGACCTTTCGTTCCCAAAAATATGCGAAAGTTGATATATAATAACTTTCATTCTTTGTCTCATCCTGGCGCGAAAGCTTCAACAAAACTAATCAATGCCAGATATATATGGCTGAATTTACAGAAGGATGTACACAAATGGGTTAGAGAGTGTTCAGCATGTCAACAATCAAAGATTAATCGTCACACAAATTCACCCATAGGTGTTTTCTCGCAACCAGATGCACGTTTTGCCCATGTGCATATCGACTTGGTAGGTCCTTTACCTCGTTCAAACGGTTTTAATTGTCTTTTTACATGCATAGATCGATTTACTAGATTCCCTATAGCCATCCCGATAGCGGACATCACAGCGGAAACAGTAGCCAAAGTTTTCATGCAGAACTGGGTAACCATTTTTGGTACACCCATAACAATAACGACGGATAGAGGAGCGCAATTCGAATCCGAACTATTTAATAACTTGGCTAAACTTCTAGGCTCTAATAGGATACGCTGCACTGCATATTATCCTCAGGCTAATGGGATGGTAGAACGTTTTCACCGTCAGATAAAAACCGCCCTTATATCTCACTCAAACCCCAATCAGTGGACAGAATTCCTACCATTAGTTATGTTGGGAATACGAACATCTGTCAAAACTGACGCACAGTGTTCAGCTGCGGAACTGGTTTTCGGAACAACTCTGAGACTACCAGGTGAATTTATTAACCCCAATACTAACAGTCAAAAACTTAATTTAGGAAACTACGTAGATCAACTACGGGACCATATGTCCAAACTTAAGCCAATTAATACTCGCGAACAATCGCGTGCCGTATATGTACCTACAGACCTAAGCAATTGCACGCACGTCTGGATAAGATGTGACAAAATAAAAGCACCACTTAGCCCTCCATTTGAAGGTCCTTTCAAAGTCGTCTCAAGAAAATCTAAATATTTCGTGATAGAAAAACATGGAAACATCGACACAGTAAGTATTGATAGGCTAAAGCCGGCTTATCTAGATCATGAACCACCATACGTGTTGTTAGATCGTTTAACTGACAAATCCATTACGGAATCGAAATGTAAAGATAATAAATCTTTGCAAATGACTAAAACGGTTCGCTGGGCACATCCAATTAGTCAGTCAAGGATGTTGACAGTTTCGGCTGCAGGATAAAATCTAACCACGCAGCTAATCACACCCTGCATCTACTTAAAAATATTTTTTTCCTCATTCCGCCTCACCGACAACTCCCCAGACCTTTTACCTTTGATATATACGTGTTATGTTAAATTTTTTTTTAAATACTGGACACATAAGGTAGGTATTCCGAAACGGTGGCTGAGGATTTTAATCAAACTCATACAACTAACACTGGCAAATACAACGAATTCAAAAAGCAACCCAGGCGAGTTTTATAATTTCTTTTTCTGGTTAATTAACTATGTTGGCTGTACTTCTTATATATTTATATACATTTTTCACGTAGACTGGGTATACATATATACCATATGAACTACTTCTAAAAGTTTTCGGTTGAGGATATGTTTAGTAGCTTGATACGATTAATACTACTATTAAGAAGTAATTTTCTAGATAAAACATTTTGGATTAAACCATGGTCAAGTACTTATTAAAGTTCTCATCATTTTTTTCATGTTTAGGAAACTTACGTAATGACTTAACCAGTTTCCCTGCAGCATCCTTTTTAGTATGATCATATAACCCATCTTTATTGGCAATATTCAGATTTTCTTTTTAATTTCTGACATTTAAGAATTAATAACCGTGAAGATATAGTACAGTGCGTTACTGTATGGTTACTATGTCAGCCGCATTGATTCCACATACCTAATTTTAAACAACTTATAAGGGAACTGTTTAGTAATCATAACATTGAACTGACAATATGAATATCACGACTATGCTAACGTTAAACCAATTATTATTGGTGGCCCATACAAAGTCCTGGAACTTAACATTAGCGTTATAAAAAAGACATTTTATGTCAATAACTGATATATATATATATATATTCCTTGGCTTGAATATAACGTAAAATGGAAATTTACTAAACTTGTAGTTTTTTTCTATAGTAATAATATTCATGTAAACAAAGAACTTATACTTTTCCAATATGGCACTTTGACATATCAATCCGTCCTCCTGTTGTCTTTCTCTCATATCTGAGCAACATGTGGCCAACAAACATCGTATTGAAAGGGGTTTTGGTGGACGAAAACGCTAGCCCCACACGCACTCGAACCTCTGCCCTCCTGGATGCTAGAACGTGTGCCTAGCCATTAGACCACATCAAACCACGGGCGAATGACTGCAATCTTTCCTTTTACCAATTAATCATATATAATACTAATGAGTAATAGGACTTACACATTTCTAAGGTGCAGACAAATTCGTTACTGGGATGAATTGACGAAATATTGCTTCGATATATCATACATACTTAGATCAAACCAGAAAACAGTATTTGACACAATTGTACTTAATCCTCATAATCTACACAATTTTTTTCTCCTCCTTAACCGTATATTCTTTACCGTTTTGTGGAGTACAACTATGCACCCTTGGTTACGTACCTGGTTATAAAAGGCGGTCGTCATAGGCCCAAGGTCATACATTTGATCGGGTTTGACAATGAGTCCAACTTCTAGCAAGTTTACACTTTTACATATATGCATTATAAAAAAGTATTTTTTGTTCTTGTTTTCATACCTTTTCGTACATAAGATGGCTACACTATGTCTATTTTCTTCCAGAATACCAATCCTTACTGTAGGCCAATCACTTACGTGGAACCGAACAATTATAAATTATATTTTTGTATTTCCATTTTGTATCTTATTATTTTTATGCAGGCAGTGGAGCAGTTCCGCAGGTGTGATTGGTTTTCACCATTACCTTTGAAGTAGATTCTTCTTTACTTTTTACTTGAAGGCGACTAAAGAGGCAGGTGAGTAAACACCTGATAGCCGGTCTGAGCATGGAAAAATCGTACCTCACCAACATGGTGTTGGGTAGCCCGCTCGCGGCACTTCCTCAGATATTCTTATTCCACATTCTCACACTCTTTCTCTTGAAAGCACGCAGTAAACCGTCAGCGATAGTTGTAGAATAGATCACATGCTACAAAATAAGATGACAAGCTAGTAAATGAAGAGACATCCATGGACTATCGTTGACAGCGTTAGTCGTCACTGATTGTAAGTCAAATAGTGAGCGAGTTGATAATTTTCCCTTGGGATGAGAAATAGAACTAAGGTGTTTTTGATAGATAGGTTAATCGAACTGACGTTCCTACGGAAGTCGATTCTAGGGAGAAGCTAATGTAACAGCTCAGGTTGGTTGGTTAAGAGTTGACCCCAAACAACTAAGCTTATGCCAAAACAGTATTGTTCAAGTATTCATTCACTTCCTTATTTTTCATAAGCGTTATATTCCCTATTATCTTGAATGTTGAGAGTCTTTATTTGTCTGAACAGATAATCCCACGCTCCACTGTGACTGCGCGAAGATCGAAATAAAGACCTATTCACTACTTGTCTGGTTCCTTCTATCAATAGCACGAGGGTTACTTCAAGGCACGAAATATACTCCTAGTATCATAGTTCTTGGTGCTAAGATAACTTTTGCTGATGCACTTTATGTTAATATCTGGGGCACTATTAGCAACAACGTACTCTGGGAGAGAACAAGCCAGATCCCAGCGGAGGAAAAAATCAGGAAGAAGCGCTGGAAGTGGATAAGACACACATTGAGGAAAGCACCCAACTGCGTCACAAGACAAGCCCTCACATGGAATCCTAAAGGTCAAAGGAAAAGAGGAAGACCAAAGAACACATTACGCCGAGAAATGGAGATAGACATGAGAAAAATGAACAAGAATTGGATGGAACTAGAAAAGAAGGCCCAGGACAGAGTGGGTTGGAGAATGCTGGTCAGCGGCCTATGCTCCATTGGGAGTAACAGGCGTAAGTAAGTAGGAGATGTGTTTTCGTTGTTGAAAAACCATCCATTTAACAGTTCACATATGACAGTTTGGTTATAATATGTCACACCATCGTGCAGTAAGGAGTGATGTTTTCGTCTGTGTTCCTTCTTATGCGCTTCGTAAGGAGAGGACATAAATTTTGGGCTCTAGATGCAGCAGGGAGTGCAGTACGTTCTTCTGTCTGTTTATGTGTGCTGTGTTGACTTCGCACTCCTTCAAGCATAGAGTATATCTGGTGCAGGGCACTAAAGTCCTTTGATATATAGTACGTCCTTTTCAGCTTTCGCAGTTTAGACTTAGTCTTTTGGTTTATATAGGGAGTAATTGTTTTAAAAGCAATTTTAGATAGTATAGTAGTGTCCAGTGCGGATTTGGTGGTGGTATTGAATATTTCTAATGTTTCTAAAAGGCTATCACTGGTAAAGAAACTGCTCCAGTCAGAGTGCTTCATTAGAAATCAAAAGTTTTCCCAGTCAGCGTTTGCATAGTCTCTATATTGGAAACGCGTGTCTAATGTCTTTAATTTGTTGCACTAGGCAAGAATCGTAAGTATGCAGAGGACTATTATATGATCGCTGTTGTGAAACTTTTCGCTAACCACCATTGATGTTGGTGTGACATTGCGACAGAATATCAGGTCAAGAATGTAGTGATTTCGTGTAGACAGGTGTACATGTTGCTGCCAACCGTTAATGTCTAAGCATGCTTTCATAGCACAATGGGCCAGAACGTATCTTCCAGTTGATGGTTGCAAAGCCGAAAACACTACAAACAATTTTGTAGGTGAAATCAAGCGAGGCGACCATGCCTAATGACTCGTAATGCTTTCAGTTGAACTAGGAGTGTTAGGAGCTCGATATATACATCCGGTTAGTATTTTACATCCATGGGTATGTACAGTAAGCCATATCTAGTCTAGTAGTTTGCTGAGGGCATGGTCAATATATATTACCGCCCTCATATTTTTGATGCATATACAAGACAACCACTACCCTTCTTGGTGACTCGATTACAGTGGAAGAGCTCATAGGTGTCTATTTGGAAGTATGAGTCTGCGATACCGAAGGACAACCAACTTTCCGTTATCAAAACAAGTGAAGGGTTGTTTGAATGTAACAGGGTGCATAGGTGAGTCATCTTATTTTGTACAGATCGATCATGAGTACACAATATATATCTATACATTCAGAATGGAATCTCACACTTATGTAAGAACTCTCGTCTAAAGTTGAGAGAACATCTTCACAGTAATTGAACGCCGATTGAATGTAAAACACTGAAGAGAAGAAATATATATATTTGTAAAAATATCAACGATCGAACTTTGAGTAAGTAAGGATATTCGCTTTGCAATCATGTCCAGGTTCTTTCAAGAAAACATGACCAAATATCATCTGACTATCAGCGGCCTACTTGAATATCTGGGCTACCTGTTCCTGCCATCTAAATATTTCCGCAAGTTATCCGTTTTATTTTGTTTTGAAACCTCATTATATCTATTAATCATATAACACATATAGTCGCGTTTATAAATAGCTCACGACCTTTGCCACAGGTTACAGAGAAGTACGATATGAGACATCGTAGTGGTTGGCAATATGCACTGAAAAGAATGAATATTAATCGTATGTCGCTTCCCGAGCTGCTGGATTCTAACTGCCGAATATAATGCAAATGTCACGGAGAGAAGTGAATCGATAAAAAAATGGTAATAACAAATTGTAAAATTTATAACAAAGAACGAACTTACTTACTTTCGGGATTAGATTATATCGCCGGAGATTATTTCGTGCTCGCACGTTGTGATCACCGATTCTGTGGTGGTCGGTATTCTATATAATCCCTAAATTTCGTATACAGTTCGTCCTGATAACCGTCACTAGATAACGCCTCAACGGTGTATTAAACATAAGGGGAATACGAAGTTTTGATTACGTTATTTATGGGACCACACACATATCCAATTTACAAGCACGTTAAGCAAGCGTGAAAAGGTAGTAACGAAAAGCTAGCAGGCATGCAAGACAGCGAGTCAATGCATACGAGTACGGGTAAGCGAGTACAATGAACATGAATAAAATGCACATAAATATAAATAGTGAAATTGCTAGGTTTCCAGCTATTACGAGTTCCCTTAGTATGCGAACGGAACAAAGACTTGTGAGAAATACGACATTAAGGTGAAAAAGTGCTTTTGGTGCGAAAACAAGGAGATTTAAATTTTCAAGATTAATACATTTACCAAATGAGTTTTGAGGATCTTCCATCCCCAACAGAAATGAATGAATCATCGAATCAGTTAAACAGTTAATAGTAAGGCTAGTAGAGTGGAGAAATGCGTAGGCAGTAAACAATGCTCAAGTATACATATTCATACAAGTGTGACAGTAATAAAGGTACAGTGGTATAGATAAGCTGCTATTGTACGAATGACTCTGTCCGTCAAATAATTTAACAAAAAGGGCTTGGCCAAACCGAATATGAGCAAACTCAATTTGGCGTGAGCTACCATACGATCACTGAGTAACCAGGTGGACTATCTTGAATTCCTACTAAGTCAAAACAGTTATCGCATTTGTGGTGCCATCACAATCCAAGAATCCGTGTTAACTGATTCACGGAATGACTGATTAGTATCACTGAATGATTTTAATATCAACCATCAGGATCGGTGAAGCAATAAAAAGAAATGTGACGACAGTGTAGCTACGTTTGTAAACGTGAGCTAGTATCGATCTATTTTTGCATGTTTGAAGTCTTCAAATGACTTTATCGACTGTTTAACTCTAAGATTTCGTCAAAAACATCTGAATAAATACAAACATGCTTATGTCACCAATATCTACGTGACTCCAGACTGCACATCATCTGCGCTGTTTGTTTTCACTGACGAACTCACTGAATTCGATTTTACTGCCTTTGGAGGTTCATTTTCAACTGTATTTGGTGATTTTAATTCATGTAACTGTAGCTTCCTTACATCACTTGGTCACCAAAACCTTATAAATTTTCTTACTTGTTTGGATGCTCATGTAGACTTTGTTTTCATTAATGATGCGGGTACATATGCGACTCGTAAACGTGCTCCATTGTATAGCTCGGACCACTAAATAATTTGCGTTCTGCCTAATGTATAAAGAAATCATGAAAAGAATACATTCTTGCATCAGACGAAGAAAGTCAAATATAGAAATTACAAAGAAGAAAATATTCAAAAGCTAAAAAAACATGTTTTGTGCAACTGACTGGGAATTATTTACAGATAACTCACAGGAAAACACCTCTGATCTTATCACTTGTTACCTTAAATTCTGTTTTGACATTTGTCATCCCATTGAAACCATCTCCTTAAGTTTTGGTCAACTTACATCTCCACAACTAAAATGACTACGGAGTGTAAAAGAAGGAATGTACAAGGAGAAAACTGTATAAAAGTTCGTATGCTAAATGGTCTAGTAAACCTAGAGATTAGACGTCTCACCTCAGTGTATACTCAAAAACTTCTGTCTTGTAAGGTCTCTCCCAGTATGTGGAAACTCTTTCAAGAACTCACATTTGGAGCGATAACCAGCTGGATGTTTGTGAATTAAACAAGTCTTTTATACTTCTGCCATCTGATATCATGCTCCCAATATCCACATGTTTGAAGAATAGTTGTGCTCCTCGTTTTACTGAAACTGATGTCCGAAAATGTAGATGGTCACTTTATTCATCCCAACGTTTGGGACCTGATGGTATCCCAAAACTCCTTTTTAAAAAATATGCTGACCCTGTATGTTATTCATGCACGACTATTTTTAACAGATTTCTCTCAACTAATCTCATATAGAAAACGTAGAGAAAGATAAAGATAGTCCCTATACCTAAGAAAGTATCCAGTGACAAGAATATGAAATTTAGACACATAGCAATAACTTAACCTTTCCCCAAAACAATGAGAAAAACTATTGATACCTCCACTTCAACGCACGATAAAAGAGCACAATTATCCGTATCAGTTTGCTTACAGGTGCAAAAGAAGCACTGAAGAGGTCGTTTCTGTTCTGCATTATAATATAGTGCTCAGCTTAGAAAAGTGCAAGAAGTATGTTCAATGTGCTTCTCTGGACTATACTAGTGCTTTTGATTCTTTGCCAAGACAATTTTTACTTGACAAGTTAATCAACGTGAAAACTGACAGATGGAAAACTAATTGGCTATGTTCCCATCTTTCTGAAAGAGAGCATTACCCTGTGTTTGGAAGAAAGTATTCAACGTCTCCACTGTCTCATGAAAGTGTGCCAGAAGGAGCTGTTCTCTCACCTCTTTTTTCTACATAATCTGCTATTTTCTACGAAAAACACTTTTGTCAAATATGCGATCAATCTCACTGTATGTATGACGATTTCTGCCTCTTTATATCCCGCAGAGATGAATGAGTTTTCGCCTTGTATTGAATGGTTGTCTGTTGTTAGTTGTCTCATAACTAATCCGTCTTAATGTCAAGCTGTTAACTTTAGCCTGATTTGTGGACAGCATCTAAACACCATTTTGGGGTCACATAATGATTGTGCTATTGTAAACTCTTTGATGAACTCAGTGCCGAAGGTCAATTATATTAATGTTACATTTTCTTCTGATCTCCCTTGGTCTTCTTATGTTTCGCTGTTATCAAAAACAGTTTTCCGTTTGAATTACTACATAAAGAGGCTACAGGCCTTTCAGAATACTCGACGTTTGCTCTTACAACTTGTAAATTCCCACATATTACCTATTATTCTTTACTATTCTCCATTATTATTTCTCGAGCTTCCGAGAAAAGACTTCACTATATTGTGGAGAGTGATGAAGGTGGGTATCATTACCAGTGTTTGATTTGATAATTTCGAATAAATTGAGCATTGGGCAGATTGTTACATATATATTATTTATTTATTGTGATGAAGGCAGTTAGCAAGGTAAGTGGTGAATCTTTTGAGGTAATTATTATCACGGTTATGGATAGACATTGAAAGTCTTGCAAACTCCTGGCGGATGTTTATTTTCAGATACTAACCATCCCCTCCATTCATATTTTTCTCCTCGTACATCCCCTGGCGGAACGAGGCGTCAAAACACTAAAATCCATGCACACAAGCAAAAGTATAAAAATTCTGTAATACTTTACGTAGCGAATTCACTCTGTGACGAACAGATTTTTATAGTTGACCTAGTCAAAAACCTGCATTCTTAATTATGTTCCCAATTACAAAAGTTATACAGATTCAGACATTTTCCATCGTTTCCATTTCTTTTTTGTTGTTTTTTTGAAAGAAAATTGTTGAAACACCTCGTGTTGAGAATTCTATATTGTACCACAGTAAAATATTTGATGAAGCTATTAACAATAATGAAAAATAGCAATCACAAATACATAGTTGACCGGTTAACTGTTTACTAAAAACTTTATGTTAACTATATGAAAATGAGATTTCTTGTGGTAAATATGTAACATTCTGTGTGAGAATTGACGAAAAATTGTGTCAAAATAACAGCTGCATCCATGTTTATAATTCACAGAATATATATCGTCCCTGATTAGTAACTTTCGATGAAACCAGATGATTATAAAGATGATCTAAACCAAGAATGCTACAGCGTGCTGAAATGAAGTTAGGTATATAAATGATTGTTTGTGCTATCGTGATGATTAAACTGATTGTTTCATCATAAATTCAGATAAACCAACTCGTTAGAAAAAATGAGGATAGTCGCCATTGATTTTGTAACAGGTGTTGGACTAAATGTAGAAAAATGTAGTGGGAAATGTTGGATCCAGAACTAAGACAGCTTCGGTGTATCTATCCAAGTATTAAGGTTTCGGTCATGCCTTACCGAGCTCGATAATACAAAAAAACGATAAAAGTTAATAACGTCTTTATAATAACGCGAAAAACATTCAGGATGATGTAGAAGATATTCAGGAGTGTGACTATAAGAAGGAATATAAATAAATTAAAAGTGGTGGTGCCTGGATTGTACTCTTTCCAGCTGGTACAAACGCCTGATAAAACTCAATGGTCACATAAGAAAAATATTCCTATCAGTTAAGTAACAAAATCCTATCCAGAGAAGAAGGGTAGGTCAATTCAGTTTGCCCAAAACATGATAAATTAACTAGAGAACATTGGTTGTAACAGGTAATCCCACGCTCCATTGTGACTGCGCGAAGATATAAATAAAGGCCTATTCACTACTAGTCTGGTTTCTTCTACCAATGGCACGAGGGTTACCTACAGGCACAAAATGGTTATATAAATATACAATCAGTCACCAGTGAATAACATCAAACATCCCTAAAACCATATGGGGGACGTGCTGCAAAGTCAGTCTCACAAAACAGAGGCTAATAGTTTGCAAAGTATCAACTAAAATTATGATGGTCCAATATGATAAATGCATTTAAACAGTCTTTAGGAAGACAGAGCGATAAGAAAAAAGTGCATTGTAGGGGCTGGTACTATGTCGATCCCCCATAGGTTATTCTAGCTTCCGGGCAGACCAATTTATTCATTCTACTTAAGTCACATTTTGATGTTGTTAATTACTCACTTATTAACCCTGACTGTTTTTATATGAGCATAAGTGTGGACGTTTCCTATCTTAATCATTACATGCCTGTAACTTATTTTCGTGTGACTATAAATATCGATTAACGCCTGATTAAATGGAGTTGGCTTACATGACTTCTTCATCGCTCGTAATTTGGCTTCGCTCTTTTTCCTTCGCTTTCTTCGCTTCTCCGATCATTTGTTTGGACCAACGATTGCATGAAATATATGCTTTCGAAATCCGTTCTCTTGTTTGACTTATTTAATTCCGTCACTCACTAACTTCAGTTAGGTCGATAATTATATACGGGGATTGATGACATCTATATTTCTATAGCAATCAATCATACGATCTAAATGGAGTCAGACTTAGGGCGTCACAACATACTACTGAAATACAAAGGACTAGTTGCAAGAAAACACAAATGTGGGGGATTTTCTCCATATATGCATGTGATAATACAAAGACAGATCTTACAAGGATTTTATTTTCTCTCATTAATTATGAGTTACTACGGGACAGCTAATTGCATTCCGTCCCTCCCACTAGTATTATTTGTATATCACACCAATTCACCAACACCTTTATTCTGCTCGTCTCATACACCTAGGTACGTACACAGAGTCATCAGTGGTTTACTGCTAGTAGGCTTGAAAGCTTATGAACCGAAGTTTTCTTCTGTCCTGCTACAACCACTTGAATAATTTGAGTTTCTAATCTTTTCTTCAATCGGGACTTACGTATGTTAGTATTTGTAATTTACAGTGTGTGTCTGTTCGACAGCTCATTAGGTAGAATTTAAATCATGTTATTTATGATCCCTTGGATCATCAATATATTTTATTTACGGTTGCTATGACACCAGTAGTTACCAGGGGGTGGTTTAAACATGACACCTAACACACAGGATGAATATAGTGAGGATTTTTTTACATTTGTGATGTATATTTTATCCAGGGATTAAAAAAGAAGATATTGAATTGTACAAAAAAATAAGGTATTGTGGATTCATTGTTGTTTCAAGTATATGGAACATAGGAGGGAAGTTGAACAAGAATTCATGGCAAAATATGAGCCTGTGGATTATAGATCAGTGACCAAAATTGATTTTCATAAAGACGTAGTCCGGTTACCTCCAAGGCCCGAACCAATGGTAGGTCTGTTCAAATTGAGCCAGAAATCACTTATTTTAAGCATTCATAATCCTTTAATTAAATTATAAACATTTAATTAAGTGTATTTATACCTATGACCTGTAACACGTCTAAGGGATATGTAGAAAGTTTCAAGCCTTATCATTCTACACGATGAGATATCTCATTGTATATTCAACAAACCTTTCAAATAAAGGGTATTCTCTTGTTAAGTTACATATATGTCTTCAGTCTTCAGTAATAAGGATAGTAGGTTGGTGAACCTGTATTAATCCTGACACATTGCTTTTCAGTGAAGGTCCAATTTCTCATTGAAAGGATTCACTGATGGGGCTGATACCACTTGTTCGGGTAAGGCTTTCCAATCATTGACTACTCGATGAGAAAAACAGGACCCCACTTTAAGTTTATTAGATCGTGGTTTATGAACCTTCTTGTTATGACCTCGGAGATTATTAGTGCTGGGGGAGCAAAGAGATAAGACATATTAACACCCAAATCGTAAGTAAAGATACGAAATGCCAGTATAAGGTCACCTCGTTTCCTACGATATGACAAGGGGAAAAGATTTAGGCGTTTTAAACGCTCATCGTAAGGGAGTCTAGAAAGACCCTTCACTAATTTCGTTTCTACACGCTGGACACGCTCAAGGGAGTTAATATCCTTTACCAGACACGGGCTAGCTGCTTGGATACAGTACTCTAAGTGTGGTCTAACATATATGGGATATAAAATTCGAAACGTTTCCCCGTCAAAAGATTTGAACCCTCGGCGAAGTGACCATAACGCACGAAAACCTTTGACAGCGGCTGCTTTGCAATGCGTAGTTGTTTTTAAATCATGAATTAATACTACTCCTAAGTCTTTATGCTCTTGAAGGCAAGGTAGAGGTTTACCCTCATTAGTGTAACGGTAACTATTACCGTGACCGATGTGCATTAGTACACTCTTCCTAGCATTGATTTCTAAGCCCTACTCTCGAGCCCATCCAACTAAATCGTCTAAGTCAGCTGAAAGGTCCAGATGATCAGCCGCACTTTCTATTGTTCTCCAGATTTTTACATCATCCACAAACAATAATGTCGACGACCTAAGTAACAGCGGTAACTCAGTAACGTCGAGAAGGAAGAAAAGAGGGTCTAAGATGGTGCCTTGGGGTACACTACTTTTGACCGGCTTCCAATCGGATAGCGTTCCGTTGACCCTCAATCTCTGTCTGTGGTCACATAGAAAGTTTCCTATCCACTCTTGTATAGTACTTATTATTCCGAAGCTCGTGAGCTTCTGCATAAGACCTACGTGTGAAACCTTGTCAAATGCTTTGCTAAAATCTATGAATATCACATCGACAGACAAACCGTTATCTAGGGCTGCTGTCCAAATCCTCTGTCGCAATAAGCAAGTTAGTCAAGCATGAACGCTTGTTATGAAATCCATGTTGCTCAGGAGCTAACAGATTGTGTGAATCTATGTGGCTTAGCAACGTAACCCGAATTATCTTTTCGAGTAACTTAACGACTACGCTAGTTTGACTGACAGGCCGGTAGTTAGATACTATCTGTCGCTGACCGTCCTTAAATATAGGACTAACTATAGCGTCCTTCTAATCTCTAGGGCGTTGGGCGAGTGAGAGGGACATGTTGAAGAGTGTCGCGAGCGGTTTGGAAATAATGACAATAACCGTGGATGTAACCCATCAGGGTCCGGTATCTCACCTGGTTGGAGGTTAGTTATCAATGGAAGGACAGTTTCCTCAGTCACCTGTACAGATTCAATAGTTGGTATCTCGGTGTGAGTGGGACAAGTATTTGTTATAATAAACGTAGAGAAGACTTCGCTAAAATAGTCTGAAAAAGTCTCAGCTTTTGCTCGATCTGATTCAGCTAGTAATTCTGAATTTTCGTGTGACAGTAACGGGGGAATACCATCACTACGTTTCATTCGCCGTTTAACATACGAAAACAATCGTTTCGGACAAGTACGGCTATCATATACTAACTGTCGTTCGTAAGTGGTACGGGATTTGGCTATGGTTTTCTTACAGATATTACGGTATTTTTGGTACTCACGTTTATATGGTGCATGGCCTGTCAACAAGAATAAGTCCCAGAAATGTTTCCTACGCTTTAACAGCTTCCGGGTTTCCTTATTAATCCATGGAGGGCAATGTGATAGTTTACGTGCTGACCATGGGATAAGCGGCGACGTTACGGACTCGAATGTAGCCTTAAACCTATTCCATTCATCTTCGATCAATCCATCCGCGTCGACCGACCAATCAGTCGAGATAGCACAGTTTCTGATTTCCGGAATATTGGCTCGCCAAATATTGGGACGGGGTGGAGCAGATACGAATTGTGTACCATGTGTCCTAAACTTAAAGTGAATTACAACGTGATCACTGTTAACTAGTGGAGGAAGGTGCTGGATACCGAAGACATACTCACAATGGTGGGTGAGGGCGAGGTCCAGCAGTGACGGATCATGTTGCAAATCAATATGTGTCGGTTTTGTGATACATTGTACAAGTGCACACTGAATAACGGTAGATAAAAGGTCGCTTTCGAAACCACTACCTGGAGCTGTAAGCTCTATTCGGCTGATATGCGGTGCGTTGAAGTCCCCAATGATGAGACAACATTCTGCCATACTCCAAGAACAGATGTGTCTTAGGATAAAGTCGTCAGCAAGACAAGACGGACTACGGTATATTCCCCCTATAGACACTAACCCATTTCTAGATTTAATCTTACAACATGCAACCTCACATGTGCCACTGATATGAGCCTCTGATATGGTTGATTGTATATGAAAGTGATCCCTAACGTATAATATTATACCTCCCCCTTTGCGACTTGAAACTCTATCACTTCTAATACAGATATAACCAGCAATGAAAGGAGGACAGTCTATATCAACGGTGAACCAAGTTTCTGTAACAACGATTATATCGGGACATAATTCTTCCACCATCAGACTTAGCTCGGAAGTTTTATTTCTAAGACTACGAGCGTTCGTGCAGCACACACTTAAGGTGTTCTGGAAATCAATCGTTCTACCCATACAGGCCTCGGAAGTATTGGCTTCCAAGACCTGACTACCCGGAAACCCTTAATGGTAAGGTTAGCTTCGCCATTTAATTTGCGAGTCCTCAACTCCGTAAGAGCATTCTTCCACTTGATTCGATCCTCAAGCGGCCAATCTGGTCGAATACGGACATTTGAGTCACGAGTTTTTAGTGCGCTTTTCAATAATATGTCTCTTTCTTCAAAACTCCCGAGAACCAGCTTCAGGATTCTTCTTGGTTGGGTCTCGCCTCCAACTCATTTACCAAGTCGTATTACTTTTGTAGTATGTACCCCTGAAACCTTTCCAGGTAGCACATTCATTACCACAGACTCCACTGACTGCAGGTCATGTGCATGTCTTCTAGCAGGTCGTTGTCTTTCGACTCCTCTAGATTCCAAATAATTAAACTAGGGAGGGGTTTAGCTTCTTTTGAAACTGTGTTCACAGCTTTCGGCCGTGACGTTAGATCCTGTATTTTAACTACTGGTATCTTACGATTAGTTTTTATTGTAACAGAGTCCTGGGAGTCGAGCGAGTGACTCGCAACAATGTTAGACGAAGCTTTACTATGGGACTTTGGCGGAGTGGTCTGAGAGTCCACCAAGGACTTATCAAGTAAACGGCCATCAGTTTTAGCTGTCTTTCCTACTCTTCTGCGTTTCCGTGTCATCCATATTCCATCAGTCGTAGCATCCACATTAGAACCACTCGGGACAGAAATTGTTTTATCTGGGTCACCGGTTGCTGCTGTAGCAACATGGCCACCAATATCTAATGAGGTATCACTCATTGATTGTTTCGGGGTAGACGGTTTAATAGCGGGTTGCACAGTTAGATGTTTGGCTTGCGCCGTGACAGCACTCACGACACTAACGCAATCTTCGCCATCAGTACCAATGTTGCCAGTACAGCCCTCATCAACCTTCTTATTAGCCAACATCAGGAGACTAATTGCCTTCTGGATAAGCAATGTTTTGCTCGAGCAACAAAACATACAAAGCCAATGAGAGTTGGGCTTTGAGCACCTTTTATATGCAGTGGGGCTTAATCGGGTGCACATCTTATGGAACCACTTATCACACTCATCACATTGCATCTCTTCCTCCACGGGAAATAAGCAATATAGTTGTCCACATTTATGAGTAAATCTAGCCATCTTGAAAATCAACTAGAACGGTGACAAAAACAGGATATGTAAAAGGATTCTCAAACCTTAATTAAATAAATCAAGTAAAAGTCGACCAAGTGTGCTTCGATGTAATAAATACACAAAAGCAAAATCGAAAAACTCAATACAATATCACTTTAACTGGGGTAGATGCAATTAAAGTGTAAACAGTAGTTTTGATGCGTAATTTACGATCAAAAAAAGTTAATTAACTCAACGAGAAACAATACCACTGTCCTTTTAAATAGAGCGCGACTGCGATAGACTAAACCAATCAGCAGTTCTTGTACATTGCATTTCAAGCGGCAACTAACTAATTCACACGTCCTACTCTCATGCGATACACTGTCGATAATGGCAAATGGAATAGCATTCCTAATGAATAGAGGTACTCCCCCTCCTTTACGCTTTTGTATTCTGTCGGCCCTTACTAACGTAAAACCCTTGAAATCAAGTTTCATACTATCTATAACCTGTGTTAGTCAGGTTTCTGTAACTGAGATTATGTCTGGCTTTGCAGAGTCAATCTGTACACCTAGTTCCGATCGCTTATTAAGCAAGCTTCAGACATTAAAGTAACAGATCCGAAGCCTATTTAAGTGGCTTCGTGATTCACTCAGAGTGGCTTCGGCATCATTCTCTGTCGAACCCTTTCAACCCGAAAATTTACAATTTTCAGGTCCTTTTCGCCAGCGTTTAACCTAAGTTGTAGTTTCTTTTTGGCTTTCCGTCTTTCTACACGGTCTGCCAATGATAAGTCCTTACGGATAAAAATTCTTGAACCCTTTAATTTATGTCCATTCTGTAAAATTAAGTCGCGTTCATTCGAAGATTTGAATACTACTTTAAACAGTCTGGATTGATTTGGTTTCAAGTTCGCTGGACTCTCTAGTCTGTACACCTTTAGCAAGGTGACGCCGGTGATATTTTGAGGCATGAGTTGATTAAGCAGCTGTTTAATCTGCACAATGTTATGCTCAAAACGAGCTTTTGGTTCAGAACTCTCACTCTTCTTGATTCTATGAAAAATAACTGACCTGTCGCTGTGATCAGCTTTCGATTTTTTGACTACTTTTACGGGGGCAGGATTCCCTTTTATATCGTTATGTTGTTTCTTCCTTACAACCTGTCCCCTTTCGTGAACGGTGCTAGGAGAAGCAACAACAGTTGCGTCAAACCTACTGTTGGATTCCGGAGGGTTGTCGACGACCTGGGAGGTCAGGTTATGTTTCCCGCTAGAAACCGATCGAGCCTTGCAATTGCGGCTTCTAGGCGTTTCCTGTGGGATCCCATTTGGAAGACGGGGAACAGAAGAACCTTCTTTTCCTGAGTTGTTGTTTAAGACAGACTTCTTTGGAGACTGTTTTTCTTCTTTGATCGGTGTTAGTCGCCTATTTTCGAACACACCTGAGTTTGCTTCATATCAATTCTCACCATAATCGTTATTAAAGATATGAAATGTCAATATAAGGTCGCTTTAGCTTCCTATGGTACTATTAGGGAGAATGGTTCGGGAGTTTTAAGCGCCCATCGTAAAGAAGTTTTGAGCGATCCTTCACCATCTTTGCACCAACATGCCGAACACCCTCGAGTGTGTAAGTATTCTTAACAAGACATGAACCGCCTGCTTGAACACAGTAATCTAGGTCTGGTTTCACGTAATTGAAACACAAAATTTGAAACGTTTCTTTGCCAAAACACTTGGATACCTGATAAAGCGACCATGACGCTCAAATGACACTTTTTCATCAGATTGGTATGGTAGAAACCTTCAATAAACTACCCTATTAGTTCAGCACATATAGTAAAGCAGCGCTGCCTATAGTGAGGTTTGTCTCCTGGATTGAAAATTAAGGGTGCCACAAGTATTTAGAGTTTGACAACGCCTTAACCAGTAACACTTTTCATAATCAAAATGTGTCAACCCAGTCAAATCAGAAGTCCAGAAGCGATGAGGTTCCAAGAAATATTTGATAAGCTGTCCATATATCTAAGCTGGCTAGTGCTTGTAGGAACTATGAAGCACGGTATACCCACTCGTGATCTGGCGCGAGTGCATGACCGAGTGCACACAGTTAGGTGAGTCCATTAAAACTAATGCGGTCAGCACCAAATGTCGAAGACTTACAGAGTTATTGATTTTACCGCTACGAAATAAAATCCGTCTCTTTATATCATGCAACTCTACCGATGACAGTAACATTTTACAGTCATCTAAGCTTTACTCAGCTTATCACAAACTGACTTTCTTATGTTCATAGACACTAACTGTATTTGGAGTGAGACAATATTTTTGACAAAACTTCCGAATCAGAATGTTTCTGGTGTCACTGGAAACCCTTAAAGGAATGCTCAAGGAAATGTTTCAATCTCCTCTACTTTAGGTAAATTTCACTCGTCAAGACTTCTTTTATAGAAGCATTAAAATAATCTTTCACACAAGGTTATATATTGCCTTTATCACAGTGAGGTTGCATAACATTTCCTATTCTAAAATGGCAGCGATTGAACTGCTTTTAAAAATTAAGTGAAAGAATGAAGTTTCAAGCTGAAATCTGACATTAGTATGAAATATAGATAATAAATTGATTTGCACCTTATTAAGTGTGATATATGAGCGTTGCTAGTCATATATAAGTAAACAGCCTGAGTTACGTCCACATCTAAGTTACCTGGCCCAAGTCGACTAAGTGTTTACATCGAAAGTTGTAAATTCGCATTTTTTCATAGCGTAATTTATCACTTGATTGATTAACTCACGAAACTTAAACTAAAGTGGAACTCTAGTCAAAAAGAATATTTTATACAGAATAAGACAGTCAACAAGTATATCCATAAGTTCAAAAAATGCAAAATAAGATTTGTTTGCTGGTTTGGGGCTTAATTGTTCCATGTGTTGTTATGACAGATGCCATACATTCGTAATATTTCTAACATTTGGGGTATAAAAATGAGTATTCATAAACAAGAAGTCAAATATACCTATCCTGGATGATTCTTCAAGATACACAGCTTGATTTCATAAAAAAACCTAATGTTACTACGCAATAAATCTAAGTTGAATAAAAAATTTAGTATAAGATTATTCCCAATCTTCATCGATATATCCTCTGTACCGACAGGCTAAAATATTATAGTTGATCAACTTATAAGTCACTCAGAAAGTTTTAATATATTTACTTTTTGGGACTTAATGTCATCTCATGATAATTTAGGTTTACACATCTCTTACCTAACTAGCAAACTTTAATTTCAAGTTATCTCAGAAGATTCTTTGCTAATGAGGTCATACAGAGTGTTACGAATCCACGTAACCAGTAACTTTAACTACTGAGTCCTAGACATATGAATAATTCAGAATCCTATTTCTAGGTTTATGGAATTAACTGAATTGGTGTTGTGAGATCTCTTTTGATTTGCAACCTCAGGATTTTATTTACATATTTTGACACTTTTCTTAAGGGCTATTATCTCAGGGAAGAATACTTCAGATCATGAAATCATTGAAGGTCAGAGTGGTTTTTACTGATTTTCTTTCGGGTGAGGAGTAGAATACATCTGAAACAATTTTAGTCACTTTTTAGCTACTTACCATGTTTCAGTAGTATAAAGTATTTTTGATTAGAATGTAGAAGCAACCACGTTTCGTAGCGGTGGTTTCCAATTCGATTTTGTAATTCTTTACAAAATTTGCGAAGCGCCCCTAATCAACTCTTCATTATAAACCTTCCTAGGGATGAATTTTAAGCGCCTACTGTTTCACTTTCGAAACAATTTTTTAGAGTCGATGTTGATGAAACTTCTTGATCTCAAGGATCTACTCGAATAAGTTTGTTTTCTGTTCATCAAAATCATCTTAAAGAGTCAGAATACTCTAAATAAAGATTCAAATGCAGATTTAGTGGTTCACTCTACTTTTACTATAAATTGTGACAATTTGATGAATGCTTTAAATACTTAGAAAGATTTTATCAGATGAACACTATTAACAATCTAATTTCTCGATATGACTGTGAATAATAATAATAATGTTTATCCCCTTTAATCTCCACATTGTCCACCTTCAATTTCTCTGAATCTCAAATTTTTAGCTTCATGAAATGGTTAAAGAACAACCGGTTACATTTTGGACAGAACACAGGGATAAAATGCATGTAAATTTAACTGGTATTTTGTAGCAATTTGTCCTAATTTACTCTATGAAATTACTTAATAACTTTATTAAATCCTAATGAATTAGCACCAATAAAAATTTTACTTAGTTTTGTTTAAATGTATCTCCTCTCCTTTCTAACTAATTGATTATTGTATTTATAAAGAATATCAAAAGATCTTTGATGATGATCGTTAAATATTAAACATATCACATAAAACACTCAGCTATTTCATTAAAAACAAATAAGTGAAAGTTAAAGCAGGATATACAGAGAAGGATAAAATGAAAAGCACTCTTTATGTGCCTGAATGCTATCATTGATGCACCCCAGAGTGTTTTATGGAAATCCTGAATATAGAAGATAACTATGTAATATAGTTGGAGACTTCATAGTCTGATGTCTTATTTTGACTTAGTTGTTATAGGGCTTACTCACGTATACCTGTACGTTATTTTACGACAATGATAAATGTTAAATGATTAAATTTTATACAGAACCGTTAACGGAACGTATGTTTTGCTGTTTCTCTTTATTTCGAATATGATACTTAAGACTATTGTTCATACCACATATAGAGTTCATTCATTCAAATTATGAAGTTAGTTTTAATAAGTCGTTTTGTTATATTATTTCAAATCTATAGTCCTGGTTTCATTCACCTAAATGAACGTGGGAAAACATTTAAATGACTCAATAAAAAGATTTTATTTCATGTATCGCACATATTTTTGATGATCTTTCGTCTTTATTTTTAATCAGTGTTCTTCCCAGTTACATTCTTCCCATCATTGCCAAGTTTAGTTTACAGTTATATGAAATGTAGATGTGTCGGTTCTTAGTTTTGCATACACTATCTTTCATCGACCTTAAATTAAGATCGTTGCTTTCACTATAGCGACCAATCAAAATTAATTCACTCAGTTTCGTTTCCTCAAAGCGTGTGAGTACAAAAGTTTATAAAAGAAATTACGTTCACAAATCACTTATTGCTTCATATAATAATCAACCTAAAGTACTGAATAATTGGTTGCAGTTTATCAATTTAACCAATTTCAGTTTTGAAGCAATATAAGGAATTAGAATTAGAATCACTGTAGAAGCATAAAATTTGCTTGTTAAATATATGATATAATGAGACAATATTATTTACTGAATAGCATTTATGACAAAATATTCTATTTATTGTCATTTTCATGAAATCATTCCGGAAAGAAATTTTGTTTTGATTGGCTTAATGTTCAGTAACTGGTAGAGATTTGTCAACATTGGTATTAGTAATATGTATTAAACTACAATTATTTATGAACTGATTTTTTGAATCTGTTGTCTGTTTTACTATGAAATTAATCCAAAACTATCATCAAAGAAATCGAGACATTTGACTAATTCTGTATAATATACAGCGTAAATATCAGAATTTATTGACATTTATTACTTTCTAGAATGAAAGTAACATTAGCAATATGTGACACGCTGAAATAAACTTAATAATCAATTGCTGCACGTTGGAGACATTTATTTACAATTTTTCGCTTATCAATCTCTAAGTGGACAGGTTATTTTCTGTATTTTCAAGTGTACATTGGTGCTTGGAAACAAGTTTAAACTCTAGATTCTGTATAGACAGATTTAATTATGACTTTGAAATAAAAGTAAATTACAGGAACTCATGGGGAACTTAATATATCATGTTGGATTTCAGAGATGCCAGACTCCCTAAACATTCCACATCGATGATGTCTGTACACCCTGTAGGTCATTGATAGAAAAGTCAGTATAAGTAAAAATGGAACAATATATTTGATTGAATACAACAGCCAACGATGGCCCAATCGGTAAGCCATTAAGTTCGGGCGTAAAAAATGCCACCTGTGAACAATGGTTTATCAGAAATAATGTGAATGCTTAACTGTGCACTTTCGGCTAAATCCATTAATTGGAACTCAACTTCTCAGATGCTCGAACTCACGAGGATACAAGCTATCATACCTATAATCTTCAGGTTATGCATCGAGTACAATATATTTGATCCGCATCTAAAACTTCAGGCAATACGTAATCCACTGTTAGTATCGGTCTCACTTCCATGGTTACTCTCAGATCAATACATAAAAAATACAGTGTTCTCTGAAAAATGAGTTTCATGAAGACGACTGCCGAAAATCTGTAATAAAATGGTGATAATTTAACTCCAAATGGCTAACGAAAACTAATAAAAGTTCAATGTTGACCACCACGTTGAAAAGTACTATTTATCATACAACAGTCCATAGTGTCTAATGTTAAACATTTTTCTGATAAACTCTAGTTGTTAATCTTTTCTACAATGTATTTTCTGTAATTTTCGATGTAATTTACAATACAATAGATTAGTTCTGTATATTATTACATGACTTGGGTACATTTGATATTTTTATTTCAGAATAATGAAATACTTTTAATTAGATTTAGTATATCACTTTTCCTATTGTTTTAGTTCAGCTTATTCCTGAATAGTTTCTTTTTTTCACCTATTGTATTAGTTGACATCAATTAAAAGACATTTTCTGACTACCAGTAAATCATAAATGTCAGTATATTTTACAGCGTACAATTTTCATTACTGATTATTCATTCATAATGCAAATATCAATACCAATTAGCTGAGTTAATTAATCAGAGAATGAAATACTAGAAATTGAATTCATCGACACGAATATTATTAATCTTGTTCTAAATATCAGACATTATTATATTGCTATTTGTTCCTATGTATCCATATCATATTTCCACTAGTTAGATAATGTGTGAAGGACACTTTTTTTCCATTAAATAATTTTACTCCAAATTGAATTGTTTCAATTCTATATGTGGATTTAATTTTCTCAACTACAAATCATCCTTATTTTAAACCCAACTTCAAATCTGGTGATTAATTTCTGAAGATTAATGAAAATTTCAGTGTTAAAATATTCATTTCGAACATATTTTTCAAGCTTTTATAAGCTTGCTTATAAATTTTTTCCTCAACAATAAGAGTGATGACATGCTAACATTCAGCGCAATATAATATTTAAATCCAAGCACCATTGGAAAGTAAGTTATTAGGAGTTAAATTAAATAGCAAAAAATTTAACTTTCTTACAGAAATAAATGTTATAAATCTTTGATATGTAACAGAATGTGAGATTATTTCTCGGAGTTCAGAAAGCTTTTTTAGTCGAGAAAAGAGAGTATAAGGAAAGTGTAACTGTGAGAAAAAACGCCACTGTATATACGCTTACAATTTAGAGGCAATGCACTCAGCGAAATGCTAATATTGAAGTTACACAGAGCAATCTAAAGAAATTTTGATGCAGATAAACTACGATTATTGTTTTCTACTCATCCGATGGTCACTCTTGGATCGAAAGATAAATTACCTAGACTACCCACATCTTTCTGTATCCATCAATTCAACTGCTCTTGTGGAGCAAGGTTTATTGACAGGTGTTCTAGGAATTTGTATTTTCGGGCTCCCGAGCATCTCCTAGTGTGGTCAACTGAAGGTACAGTTTAAAATGTTAATAGCACGATTTAAGCTCATTTAGTAAAAACCATACAGACCATACAGCCAACATGAAACAATCATTCACAAGGTGGTGTGTGCTACTTATATTGACATAAGTAGTAGATGATGTTAGTCGTGAACAGAATGTCTGGCAGCAGAGAGACAAGAGGATCGAACAGTAATGAATGGAAACAGAATGCAATTTGTATGAAAATGCAAGAACAATGAAGTCTGAGTCATTATGAGACAATTGATGGACATTTTGCAAATCACTTATTTATTATTTGATTGTTAGACTTTGTTAACAAGTTCTGTAATTTTATGCCAAATACCCTCGATTGTCCCCATTCGGGTTCTTTTCACTACAACAATAATATATCGTATTAACAGCAAGTTACCTGAATCCGTCAGACTAATAATCCTACAGAAGCCTGAAGCGATAGCTATTCAGATCAAAAAGCTGGAGCTTTATGTCCATACGGAAAATGTTCGACCGCCCCTTTTAATTTGACCCACTTCTGGCCTAATTAGTTAATAGTCATTTTTATGATATGGTGATGCAATTGTTAGGCCTTTACCTCGGTAATTACCACGTGACAACATCGCCAATCACAACACCGACCTATATGGCTTTGGCCCTGTGTCAAACCAATGACGTATTAACCAGCACGAGCAGCTTAGAGTTAACTCTGAGTCCTTATTAGTTCTTCTTGCCTAGTCTTGACCGTTCAGTCCAGAACACAATATAAACCTCCACTGTGTGAATGGTATATTTCAGGCACACTTGGCTTATACACAAACAGACCAGACCTCATCACACCATGAAGTGCAACATATTAGTTATACGACATCATGCCAAAAATGGCTGTGAGTATGGAATACTGTAACTATTAAATTGGGAATATGTTAAGAATGGTAAGTCGTATAGCACTGGTCAGTAGGTCAAATGAATACCTGATGAGAATATGTGTAATAATAGTCTATAAGTGATTCTAAGCAGTTACTACTCATTTATTCTTCGTTAGGATAAAACAGTAATTTGACTAATGTTCATTTTCATAACTTAAACTTATCTTATTCACACATCTTATCAACGTTATTATTACTATCATAACATTTGCAAACGCTCTAAGAAATTTATTCAGCATCCACCTCTACTTACTAATTCGTACGCAATTCATACTCTTCTACATATTACGTCATTTCCAATGTGCAATTACATTATTATCTCTCTCATCCCAACATTAAAAATTTGATTGAAATCATGAATCAATTGAAGCTAGACCATCATGGAAAACCTGGAAGCACTGGACGGCCGTCTCGTCCTAGTATGGGACTCCTCAGCAGTGGACATCCACGATCCCGCACCCCGCGAGATTCGTGCCTGGCGCGAGACTGATAGGTCCTGGGTTCGAATCTTGCAGGATGCAGGATCGTGGATGCGCACTGCTGAGGAGTCCCATACTAG